CGAGCTGGAGTGCCAGTAAGAGTGATATCTCACCGATGGGCTCCGCCATCCCTGCCATTGATTCAGCATGCTGAATTGGCCGAAAAACAGTCGACAAGGGCCAACTAGTGCTGACAGTGTAGGGCACACCACAAGAACTAGGGCGACAGATGCTCCAACAATGGCCCGACATTGACTGACGGCCGGTGTCAAAAGATTTAGACGCACTGTCTCCTTGCAGTTTTCTGTGTATATTGTCATATTCTCTTTAGCTGGGGAACTGAAGGGTCTACCTGTCTGAGACTGCAGGTTTTCAACGATGTTTCTGTAGCATGTGTGGTTTTTTCCACCCTTTTCTGGTTTCTGGTGTGTTTTGGAGTTGAGTTATTAGTCTCTACCCTATAAATATTGTCCTACGGTCTCATGCCACATGGGACCAGACAGTCTTAGGCACATCAAGCCCAACTACCTCCTGCTGCTGTGTAGTGAAAGATGCAATTTCATATCACCAGCGCAGACTTCCTTCCTTCTGTCTCCCTGTCTGTCCTTCATTCTCCCTCTCTTTATTCTTCTACCTGTCAGTCATTATCGGACATAAAGGGGGGGAATTCTCATTTCTTATTTGAATTCACTCCCTGTATGAATTGTAACTCTCCGCTCACTTTGAACACCAATGGAAAGTCAAGGCGATATCAAAATACTGGATGTCATCACTGGCAGGGCAGTGTTTGAATTCTTCCCCTTGGGATGACATATTACACAGGTGTGTGTGTGTGTGTGTGTGTGTGTGTATGTGTGTGTCAAAGTGCCCTTCAGCCAGTGAGGGGTATTCGTGTTAATCCATGGCAATAATGTAGTCTTCTGTCATCTCAAGGGAGATAAAGTATTTGATGTTTGGGGTTAGGAGAGTCAGATTTCCAGGCATGTCAAACACTGAGACAGCCTCTGTCTCCTCTCTCTCTCTCCCCCTCTCCGTATCTCCCTCCCCTGCCCCCATATCGATGCAGGAGTAGAGTTCATTCCTTTCATCATCAGCACGGCTTCGACATCTTATAGAGGATGGATGAGACGGAGATAATAAAAAACCTCTTAGAACTCTGTTAGGATTTCTCCTCTCTTGCCCTCGCTCTCTCCCTCTCCCGTTTCTCATTTCCTCTCACATCCATTTACATTCATGCAGGAGGCTAAACACACATGTAGGCACAAGACTCCCACACACTCATACCCACACTACTATTTCCTATTACTTTCTGCCCTTTACTTTCTCATTTGCTGTTGTCCCTGACTGAGACTCAGCCTTTTCTGAAGAACAATGTCGCAGGTTGAATTACAAGCGTTCTGGCTCACAGACGGGGCCTCCTGACACAGGACATGGATAAATCCTAAAATTCTCAGTGCTCTCGGTGTCATCGGACTCTGGAGAGGAGCAGGATGTGATGTGGATGTCCCTGACAGCCTCTACATCACTTCCCCCTCCCTCACTCCCTCAGCTGACGACATTCTGAGAAAGATGATGCAGCATGGAGTGTGCCGTATGCGTCTGTGTGCACCGGGAGTGCCGCAGTGTAGATTTAAGACTGCTTTCATGCAGGACGTGTCTGTATGTATGAATGTATGTATGTGGGGAGCTACAAGGCTTCTTGTATGTAAGAGTCAGCAGGTTGGTTCTCTCCGTGGTTAATAAACTCACATAAAGGAGAAACTCACCCTTTGATCGTCAAACACTGCTACATGTAATTAACATTTGATATCCAATGAAGTGAAATGGTTTGTGATGAGTTTATTTTGTGGTGTGCTGACTCTCACTCAACCTGGCTCCTCTGTAGATCATGTTTTCATAATTTCAGAGAATGTGTGGCCTTGTGCATTCAGGTGTAAGCTGCACATGTCGATGGAGGATGGAAAGGTGAGAGTGATGGAGAGCAAAGGTTATCAGTCAAGAGAAAGCGAAAGATTAGTGTCAAAGTACAGCTACTGATAGGGATACATGCTTCTACGATGGATGAGTCCACATGTACACAGGTAATTTTGAAAACACGTTTTTCAAGACATTTTCCCTCCTTTGTTCTGAAAAAAACTGTCCACATAAGCACTGTTTTAAAAAAGCACGGTCAAGAGCATGCCAATCCAACAGGTGGCGAAATAATTTAAAGCCATGTTCACCAATCACGCAAAGAATAAGATGTTGGACAATCATAAGCCTGAAAAAAGCTATTACCGGAAGACTGCCTGGATGCAATGGCACATTGTAGCACATTCTGGCGCCTCTGTTCCTCAGTATAGTGGAAGAGTAACTGTATGCTTATGTGTAAACATGTAAAAAAAAAAATCCTCTTCACAAGGTTAGAGCCAGCACTATTTTGATTATGTCTGCCATTTGTGGGCCGTGGCTTAGGACGTAGAGAGGGTTATCCACTTATTGGAAGATTGGCAGTTCAATCCCCGGCTCCTCTGCTCTGCATGTTGAAGTATACTTGGGCAAAATACAGAATCTGAAATTGCTCCTCATGGCTGTGCCATTGATGTCTGAGTGCATGTGAATCGTTAATTGAGTAGCAGGTGGCACCTTGTTTTGTACAAATGTGTGTGTGAATGGGTGCCTATGACATGTAGCGTCAAAGCGCTTAGTGTAGTCAGAACACTAGAAAGGTGTGATACAAGTGCAAGTCCATTTACCATCCGTTACCAAGTCCATTGTAAGAAATGTTGCCTCATTTGTGACGCTTCACAAAGGACATAACGGCGCACAATCTGATGTCATGTGACCAAAACTCAATTTTCCTTGTCATTTACACAGCAACACTAAAAACAGGGTTTCTGAAAATCTTAAACACGGAAGGAATTTTACAAAAGGGCAGTTTGCAGTCAACTAAAATGTGTGGACAAAAGGCCAAAATGCATAGCAACGGGGCATTGGTAGTGTAGTGGATAGTGCCGGTGCAACATGTACAGAGGCATGGCCTCGCTGCAGCGGCCGCGGGTTCGAACCCGGCTCGCGGCCCTTTGCTGCATGTCAGTCCCCACTCTCTCTCTGTCTCCCCATTTCACCTTCTGTCCTGTCAATAAAGGCAAAAAAAAAACAAAAAAACACATAGCAACAACTATGTAAAAAACTGTAAATAGTGGTAGTCGTAAATGATGATCTTGTCATTTCTGTACAATCTTAACCCAGTCGCCAGAAAAAATGTTTGCATTGTACTTTCCTGCAGACAACGGATACAATACGCTGAAACTTTGTCTCAACAACGCTGTGGAAAACGTGTGGACTAAGCACAAAAACCACTTTGTTACAGTTGGGTAAAGATCATGTTTTGGCTTACAACATTCAGTTTGTGGGGCACAATCCTGGCAGGAAAAGCAGCGATGTCTCTGTACAAAAAATAGCCCCTTGTTGTGCTTTTAAAGCTGCTGTAAACGTGGGGATGATTTTTGCTGGTGTCGAACAGTGGTCTGCAGTTTGGCAGGCGTCTCACCTTGATGTCACACTGTCTATCATCCCCTCCACCTCAAGATGACAAAGTCAGCTCATACACTATGTCACTTTAGAAACGTTGATATGACACCTATGAAACATTCAAATGCAACATATTCGTGCTTTGCAGAAATGGACAGTGCCATCTGGTATTTGGGCTGACACACATACACAAAGAAAACACTACTAATAACTGTCATAAACAGTGTTTTACTGCATTAAGAAAGGCAAGTCCCCCAGACTGGATCCTACTGTGTTGGTATATTAGCCATGAAGCACCACAAATTACAGCTGCACACTCAAAAATAAGCAAAATACAAATAACTGCATAGTATGCATGAAGAAAAGCAGCTGCACCCTGTAAGAGAGTGTAAGAGGCTGTGCTAAATAAATAAATAACACAGGAGTAGTTTGAGTGTGTGAGTACTTTTGTTTACTTAACATCCTTTTTAATATGAATCATCCAAAATATGCACTTTAATATGCAGCGTAATGTGCTGCATTCCTGCCACAGCTAGTCTAAATGTGTCTATCCAATATCTCTTGTTTTTCTTTATTTTTTTCTTTAGTAAATAGACTACGTTAATACAGCGCTTTTATCCTGAGGGCTTCACAATTTGCATCTCTCTCACACACACTCACACACAGATGGCAGCAAGCTATCACGCAAGGCACATGCCTATCCACTGGGAGCAATTGGGGGTTCAGTGTCTTGCTCAAGGTCAGATGTGGACAAGAGGAGCCAGTGATCAAACCGCCAGGCCTGTGATTATTGGACAGCCCAGATCTACATGCTGAGCCACATTTTTTCATTTTAAACATCATCTTTACACAGTCATTGTTACGTATGCCGTCAAACCCAAACAGCATAAACACCATGTCATTTTTAAAACACTTTCTTTCCCTGCTGCAGCATTTTTTTAATCATTTGTTATAGCAGTGAAACAGCTTACAGAGCAGCATGCACAGAGCAGGCGTCCACTGACAGTCAGCAGGACATAATGCAGAAGTGGAAGCGCTGTCCTTGGTCCTGAAAAGCCACACAGCAGCTCACTTGCTGCCTCCTCACACACACACACAGGTTGCTGTCTGTGGTGCTGGATCGCAGCACATTTTTACCTTTTTATTGCCTGTATGCTGATAGACAGAGCACAGTATTTTACCAGGATTTTATCCTCCCTCCTCGTGGACACTTTTATAGCTCTGTGGCAAGTGCAATTTCTGCCTCTCTGCAGTCCTGTCAGTCAGATGTTTGCGGACAGCTCGCTGTTCAGTTGCAGTCCGTAATACTAAAAGGCCACAGGTCTTATCCACACTACTTAAAAGCTAAACTGCGCTGATTGTTTGTTTTATCTCGTGTTTGAGGAAGCGTATTTCCCCAGTGTGTGTGATAATATCAATCTGTTGCTTTTTCCTGCATTTGCTCTGACTCATCCACTCTCCTGTTTTTCTCCTTTGTGTGTCTGTTTGTATATATATGTGTGTGTAAATATGTGCTGTCCTTGATGTGTGTGTACGTGTGTGTGTGTGTGTATCTATATATATATAGATTAGCAGAAATGGAGAGCCAGAATTGTTCATTCTTCACGGACAGCCTGTCTCCTGATGAAAGTCTGTAAGTATGCTACCTCCCCCACACTACCTCCCCCTTCGTTACAACCACAGCCTTTCATGGAGATAACATGTGTTCTGTGTGTACAGTCCTTCCTCTCTATACATCATTTGTGTCTGTGTTCTCAGGTTGTGCATGTATGTTTGGCCATTAGGGAAAGATTGGGTAACATGACATAAATAATAAGCCCCATAATGAAAATGACCCACAGCGAGCAGCGTGCACACAGTCCCCCCTCTTCATCATGCACATGCCTGCTGTGATTAAAGTCCGCATCTGTGGGTAAATACACAAAACCCCGCTGAGGAGAGAGAGGTGTGTGTGTGTTTGTAGCGAGCTGGCTGTGTGGCAGGGCGGTGGCGAGGTTACAGCAGTGAGAGGAATAGGGATGTTTGATGTGAATGAGGCAGCCAACAAGGTGAGTCCCCATTGTGGGAAGTGCCAGGTGGACAGGGTTGTATTTGTGTGTCTCCACGCCTTATTTTGTTGACATCTGTGTGGGCTATCAGCCGTTTCCTCCTCCTCTGAGATAGCTCTCCTTTTTTTTTATTTATTTATTTTTTTTATTTTGCTCTTTAAAGTCAAGGTTGCATGCCCAGCAGCTCTGTGCAAAGTGTTACACAGTCTCTTAGGGCTCCAGGTGTGTGTTTGTGTATTGTGAAGTGTGCTCATTATTTCTTTTCAGACGTGACTTGTGTGTGTGTGTGTGTGTGTGTGTGCTGTGAGAGAGGGTTGTGATTGACACCACATTAAAGGCTTGTTAAAGGCTTAGATAAAAGATAAAACTACTTTTCAGCAGTGCAACGTTTTTTTACCACTGAAATCCTCACAAGCCTGCTCCCAATGTCTCTGCTGCCATGTGCATGAATGTGGAGTGTTGCTTGGATGGAGTGTTGTCACAAAAAAGTGTATATCAGTGCATGCATAGTATTTGCCTCTGTGTCAGTCTCTAATTTAATGCCTGAGAGTGTGTTTGTATGCATGACACTTCACTTCTACTCCTTATGTGTAGCGGTGCTGTTTTCCGCTCTTATGCCTTTGAATCTTGTTGTTCTTATTCTGCGAATCCGTCCGTCTGTCTGTCAGTGCCTCTCTGTTTTTCCTGCTGCATGGCTCTGAACATGCTGCTGTGCTATCTGTGCCTCCAGCTGATGTTTGGCTGGCATCATACTGTTTTCTGTCCTGGATCATGCTGCCTGTGTGTTCTGCCTTCACCCTCCACCTCAGTGTATTGGTCTGAGTTCACTTTTTGCTCATTGCCGCGTAATGGACATGAAAACAATCAAAACCTTAAACGCTTAAATCAATAGAAACTTCAGTCTTCCATAAGTGGAACTAAAATAACCCATATTACAATCAAAGATTTTTGTTCTAAACAAATATATGTTAGGTTCATAATTTTGCTCAAAAAAAAAAAAAAAAAAATTCACACCATTATTTAAACTTTTGGAGTCTATTATAGGGACACTGCTTTGTTGGTAGGCTGATGTAAGAAAGCTATAAAGTAGGTTTAAGGGTGACTCTGAAATTTTTCAGCCTGGACCCAATCTTCCCATGTTTTTGTGTCTAAGTGACTAATGGGAACAACAATTTTAAAAAACTGGTCCAGTATTGAGCGAGAGCGCTGCAGCTTGTAGCCGCCAAACGGGCTATGATGTAAAGACTTGGAGCATGTAGGTCTACTAAATGTGCTTGTTTTTGCCACTGACAGGCTCAGATTATGATTTTAATGTCTGACAACATAATGGAAAGGATCCCTACAGAGATACATCTTTTGTCAATGGGTAAGTTCCCTTTTGTTTAACCAGAAATCACCATTACCAAACCCACCAGACTCTGTTTAAGTAAACAGTAATTTTAGCGTGTATAGAGCCAGCATATTTTCACATCCTACTGTGTGAATTAAGGGTTTATTCAAGTCAAACCAGAACTGGTGATTGTTTGAGGGGGAGAAAGACAACCCAAGACAGCTTTAGGGAGTTTAATTTTGTTTCTGAGGACTTTGAATGGAGTTTTTTACAATGATAAAATTACTGTTTATTTAAATGGAGTCTGGTGGGTTTGACGATGTCAGGGCTGTTTCTGGTCAAACTAAATGGATCTTACTCTTTAACAATAAGGTTTACCTCTGTAGGGATCAGTTCCATAATGTTGTGAGACACTTAAGATTACAATCTGAGCCTGACAGTGGCAAAAACACACACTTAAAATCATAATATCAGCCTGTCAGTGGCAAAAACAAACACTTTTAGTGAACATACATTGTGACAGTGCATAAATGCCCCAACTGATTACAATGCAGCCTGTTTGGCTGCTGTCCTTTCGATCAATAATGAATTGGTTCTAAAAATTGTCCATCCCATTTATCACTTCGACCCAAAAACATGGGGAAAGTGAGTTCAGGTTAAAAGATACCACAGTTACTGGCTGATTTGATTATAATATCAGATACTCTCATATAATTATAATCAAAATGTAAATTACATTCAGTTATGTAAAACAACCTTCATTTTTTTTATATAAATATAGGAAATTTACACACTTACATCACAAAAAAATGTAAAATTGTCTGTGTAAAATAATGTGGGCGCAAGTCATATGAATAACAAAATTGGAAAAAATCATTCAAATTCAAAAGTCATTTTTGACGCACATTATGGAAGTAATGAAAAATTGGTCAATAAAAATTTTGAATGGGATAAAATCAAAAGCACATTTTTCAGGAATACCTACGATATGAAATACAGAGATATTTTGTCTTCAAAAAACAACCTGGATCATTGTTGACCCACCCATGCATCAAAAGGTTAAGCAGGACCTTCTAAATAGCAAATCTTACAGAGGTGTGCAGCATCTAAGGTGGATCTGTCCATGTGTGGAATATTTATATAACCAGACTGATTGAAACAGGCCTATAAATACCTCTGTGATGTATTATTCGGCATGACAGTGCAAAGCCTATAACCTGCTCTTAACTTTGGCCCATTAAAGTATTTTGCTTTGCAGCCCAAAGCATTATCAAAGCATATAAATTAACAAACAGCTGTCATTCCATTAAAATAATTGCCAAACATTCACAGATGCATTTATTGTTTTATAGCCGTAGGTCTGCGATCACAGATCTGCACATTAAGTTTCCTGTTCCGTCCTCAGTAAAGCGTTTATTATTTGGACAATATATTGTGATGTAGCTTAAGATCCACCTTCCATTTTTAATAACTCTGAGTGGGTTTTTAATGTCGTGGAGAGCCAAGTTTATTACAGGACATTTCATATTTTGGACTGTGAACCTGGCTCAATGCCTTTATCATAGTGTCTCGTCCCAGACTGTGCAGTTTTGTTTGATTGCGTCTCGTCCTGGAATATCTTTCCTCGTGCTGCTTGCCTTGCCTTGCTTTGGCCTGTCTGCTCTCCCATGCCGCCCTTGGCTCTGCTTTGTGCTGCTGGTGGCTGTTTGCTGGTGGCTCAGTGTGCTGTCTCCTGTGTGGGGGACTCAGGGATGAAGATCAGTACCTCCTGCGTCACTCCAGCCCAGCCTTGGACCATGACTCACCCTGCGGACAGCACATGCTGCTTGCCCACCTGGAACACCAGGACAAGGAGCAGCTCCAATGCACCCTGGCCCGCCTGGAGAATGAGAACAGGTCTGTATCCAGGAAAAAAATGAACACGTGTTTTAGGACATTGTGCATTGAGTGCAGAGTGGGTATCCTTTCTTGATTTGTTCAAGTGGTGGAATCATTACTGTGTGTTTGTTTTCACACACAATAAATCTCTCTGAACTAGACTGATTGCACATTGTAAGTCAACAGAGTGCACTGACTCAGTCACATACATAAAACTATTTTTGGAAGCAGTGAGAACTGTGTTGAATTTGGTTGTAGAATAGAATGAGATTTTAATTAAGGGATAGATCCAGAGTACATATTTTCCCTCTTACCTGTAGTGCTATTTATCAGTCTAAGTTGTTTTGTTGTGACTTGCCAAGTGTTGAAGGTATTGGCTGTAGAGATGTCGGCCCTCTCTAAGTATAATGGAACTAGATGGCACTCAGCTTGTGGTGCTCAAAGCGCCAGAAAGATACATTTGAAAACTCAACAGCAATGTCTCTACAGAAATCATGACCTGGTCACCCAATATAATCCACAGACCTTGTTGTGAGCAGTTTCATATAGGAACTGTTTTCTTTCTACTAAACTACACCCACCAACTCTATCACTGTGCAGAAGGAGGCGTGCATCACACTGAGCTGGCTAACGGCTCAGCTGAGGAGGACACCATTAATATTTACCTCTCTTGCTGTCACAGTCGATGAGTAGATGCATGGTAGAAAGAAAATTGACCTTTCACTAAGCCCCGCCCCTTTGTGATGGTGATGGTGATGGTCCGACAAGCTGTCAGAGTAAGCATGGAGCCCACACTGTAACTAACTGCACTCCCTGAAGAAATATTATCACATTTTTGAAAAATGAAAGAATGATTCCAGAGAGAAGCAGACAGAGGGGTCTACAGTCTGTGTTTGAAGGATATATCCAGGATGTCAAACTTACTCAGCAGCAACAACAGGTTAAAAAGACAAAGATAGTTAGAAGCTAAAGCCGAACTATAGGCTACAGATCACAGTGTAAAAGTGAACCACCACATCACTGCTGATCGCCACACAAGACAATGAATATAAAGGGAAGCTTTGCTGATATTGAACCAGCTGTGTGGCATCGCAGTGTGTGCAGATGAACAGTGTTTGGCTTCGCCCCTGTGCTGCTGCCTGGACCTCTGCCACCGGAGGGGAAGGGATCTCCAGGGGAAGTCAAACAGTGGTCATCTGCACACACTGCGATGACACACAGCTGGTTCAATATCAGCAAAGTTTCCCTGCTTCCCTTCACTGGTTCCTGTACAACAGGGTCGGTCTTTTCTTCACTGTTATAATCATTAAAGAGCAAAAGCAGCATGTGTATACATTCAGTAGGCTATATCTTCAGTAGCAAGCTAGCTAATCCTACACTTTTCAGGGTTTGATTTAAAACATTTATCTTTTTTCGGCCTCTCCAGGTAATGAGTATCATTAATACACGACGTGCCCCAGGCACAACATTTAGCTCCAAATCCACAAAACCAGCCTGAAAATGAAGGAAATCNTGCACACACTGCGATGACACACAGCTGGTTCAATATCAGCAAAGTTTCCCTGCTTCCCTTCACTGGTTCCTGTACAACAGGGTCGGTCTTTTCTTCACTGTTATAATCATTAAAGAGCAAAAGCAGCATGTGTATACATTCAGTAGGCTATATCTTCAGTAGCTAGCTAGCTAACCCTACACTTTTCAGGGTTTGATTTTGGTTTTGGAACAGGGAAGAAACGTATATCTTTTTCCAACCTCTCCAGGTAATGAGTATCATTAATACACGACGTGCCCCAGGCACAACATTTAGCTCCAAATCCACAAAACCAGCCTGAAAATGAAGGAAATCTGAAACGACTACATTAGAGTTAATGGAGCACAGCTGTGTTGTTGCTGGACCCTGGTCTGAGCCGCCCTGATGCTACATTATGATTGGCAGGTCTGCGTCCGGGGCAGGACTTTAGTGAAGGGTCATTTGTTCCTGAAACTGCTCACAACAAGGTCTGTGGATTATCTTAGCAACCAGGTCATGATTTCTGCAAGGAGACATTGCTATTGAGTTTTTCAAATGTATTTTTTGGTGCTTTGAACACCACAAGTCGAGTGCCATCTAGTTCCATTATATTTGAGAGAAGGCAGACATCTCTACAGATGATATCGCCAACACTCAGCATCTCACATCAAAACAATCTAGATTAATAAATAGCACTACAGGTAAGAGGAAAAATGTGTACTTTTGATTTGGGCATGAACTGTCTCTTTACGTTTGGGGCTAAAGCATGAAGCAGAGATGTAAAAGTTTGATTCAGGCAGTGATTTTCATCAGTGAAGCTCCCCAGAAGCATAAAAACACAAATATGAGTGTGTTCATCTGGAGGCATTGCACTGTTTTGGTATGTCTCCTGCCGTGTGCAAACCTTCTGCAGAGAGTAAACACTCTAAATCCTGTTGAACAGCTTTTAAAAAACAAGCAGTATTTTCTACATGCATTCCTGACAAAGCAAAATGATGTGGCGATAACATGGAAACACTTCATAATAACAGTTTGTTGGTGTCCTGCAGAAGAGACAGGAGGAGTCAATTATGGGCCGACTGGTGTGATACAAGTGTAAAACATCTCTGAGACACGTTCATTTGGATGTTAATGCTTGAATTTGAATTTATTGTGTCCTAGTTGCTGAGAGGCTCAGGCATTTCCCATAAATGAAGCAAATTCATTTCTCCTATCCACTTAATTGGTTACCAGAGGCAACCTTTATGCGAATGATTCATATGAATAATTTTCTCTTGTCTTCAATTCGGTTGTGACCTTTCCACACACAGTGACATCCGCACATACACTTGTGCCCTTTGGGTGTCTGAAACCTTGACCCAGTTCAGTTATAACTCTGCAGTGCGCTCTGTTGTCTTTATTTATGACGATAGGCTGCTGGAGCTTAGTTTATATCCTCTGCTGTGGCTCTCATGAGGCTTGTACATCAATACCAAACACCTTTGACACCAGCACCTTTAACCCTGTTCTTCTTTTTGGGGTCCTGGAAGCTTTGGGTCTTTTTTAATAGCTTGTTTCACCTCACTGTATTTGTGTTTTCTCTGCTCTGTGTCTCTTGGATGCCTGATGTTTTACAGTCTGGCAACTGATCACTATGCTTTTATGAAGCTCTGACTTCACATGAGCGCTGTGGGAGTACACGCCCATTAACATCCTGAGCACAGAAAATAAGAAAATGCAGGTAGAGGGCAGAGTCTCTATAGACATGCCACCACCACGTCTTTTTTAGGAAAATCCTGCATAGTATCTCTCTAACACTGTTACATCAGCTTGATACTTAATGGATTTTCCTGATGTTACCAGTTCAGTACTTTTCTACAATGAATGAATGCATGAATGCATGGTCTATTTTCCTGTCTGGCCGTTTCAACTCGGCCCACCCCTTATAGGATTATTCAGACACAATTAAAGAAATATTTTTAGTGCCATCACACTGACAAAAAACAAAATAAGTAACAAATCTAAAGTGAACAATTCAACACAAACACTGGCATAGCAACATAAATGCCTGATATACATTTTTATTTTTATTTATTTAACCTCTATTTAACCAGGTTTGTCCCATTGAGATCAAAGATCTCTTTTACAAGAGAGACCTGGCCAAGAATGGCAGCACATATAGTTTCAACACATTGTCACATTAAACATAGACATAAGAGATACAAATAACAACAACTGAATTTACACAATCAGGTTGAGATCAAATAAAACGTTTGCACTCATAAAGCCTGGATACAATGGGATTTATCATGGACTTAAATACATTCAGAGATACCAGGCTTTGGAGTTTGAGCTCTGACTGAAAATTGTTCCATGAAGTTGGAGCAGAAAACCTAAAAGCCTTCTTCCCCAATTCTGTTCTGACCTTAGGAACAGTAAAATGTAAAAAGTCCTGAGAACGGAGACTGTGGGCTCTATTATTCAGGAATAAAAGAGATGATAAATAAGATGGAATCATCTCAAGAATGGCCTTGTAAATCAAGACATACCAATGGCCGAGCCGGCACGCATATAAAGATGGCCAATTTACTTTAGTGTATAAGACACAATGATGTGTTAGAGCACCACGGTTTGTGATAAACCTCAGAGCGCCATGATACACATTATCCAGCACGTGGAGGCAGTGAGCGGAGGCATTCATATATAACACATCACCATAATCAATAATCAGAAGAAAGGTCGACTCCACCAGTTTCAGTTTTACCCCAAAAGAAAAGCAAGACTTATTTCGGAAATAAAATCCAAGTAAAATATGGAAAATAAACAGAATTAAGAGTTTGGGAGGACAGACGGCAAGAGAACAAGAGTGAGAAAATTAGGTTTTAACAGGGTCATAAGAAAAGGGGAAAAAAATAAAAGAAGATAAACATCTCTGCAATTATTCTTATTACCGGCATTGCACATACACCAGTTGAGTCTATAAAAATACAAATAATGAGGAAGTTATGCCATTTGGTGTGTTTTATGTGTGTTTTCAACTGGCACATAAAAAACTCAAGCAGAAATTTTTAAAAATCTTGAAATACCGCAAATAGGGTCAGCAAATAAATGATGACATACAGTCATTGCACAGGCCAGTGAAAGCTCTCTTCGTTATCTCTGGAGGCTTTTAACACACTGATGTCATAAACTGTTTCAAATCATGGACGTAGCCACTGTGTCGTCACTAATTGGTTTGTGGACTTTCATATTAAAAACCTTGAGTTTGGAATTTCATCTGTCGGCATCTTGGTTTTAATGGAACCAGAAGTGACTGTATTTGGATGAGAGGGTGGAGCTGTGGAGGAGCGAGGGGTGGATCTGAGTCACAGACTGTCTTGATGCCTCCTTGCCTGTCACTTAAAGCGGCCATGCCCTTAAATATGTGTTACTTAAATATGTGTAACTTTAAGGGTTAATAAGTTTAGTTTTTGTACCAGGCTGTAAACATGTTTTTTCTACTGTAAAGTTTGGCATTTTAACATGGGGGTCTATGAGGATTAACTGACTTCTGAAGCCAGCCTCATGTGGCCATTAGAGGAACTGCACTTCCATGTTGGCTTCATTTTTCAGCCACACAGTTTGCCACTTGGCTTATGCACACAGGGCTGTTACCAGAACTCTTCCAAGAGCACATAGCTGTAATATCAAATGTTAAAAACTCTATTTCCATCGTCCAGTGTGCTCTTCATTATTATACAGCCATTGTTTTCCTTCGTTTGAGGTGTGACTGGCACTTTGTTAATTATATCATCTCATTGCACCCTCTAATTCTGCAGTGGTATGATACATAGTTGTAAAGGGCAGAGACCTCAAGCCGCTGATAGACAGCCCTCAATTACTATTCTGCTCGTTGTCATGGAAACGTTTGAGCATCGATTACAATCATTGTTACTGCTGTCGTATACTGTCTTCTCATCTTTCACTGTAAATAACAAGACATAAATGTATAGGGTTGTTTTGTGGGTGAACAAAATAAATCTCTGTCTAACATATAGACCGCAGACATTCACATACAAAGATGTTTGTAAATATGAACAGAGCAGTGACTAAATTGATTGTGTAGGCCTGTTAGTTACATCAAAAAATCTTCTTTAGTTGTTTTTTGGCCACTTTTTTAGCCTTTATATTTGGCATTACACTGGGCAACTTACTGAGTTGGCTGCCAGAATACAATGCATTTTGATTCCACTCCACTTCCACAGTAATACTTGTGGGCAAATTTAATCAGTGAAGTCTGCTGAAGGCTGCATCCCAAGCTGACTCTCTGATAGTCTGCAGAAAGTGGAACGCGCCTGCAAAGTCCACAAATCTGCAAGTGTGGTGAAGTCCGGACATTTGGGCTGAATCCAAATGTAACCCAAAATTAATTGCAATACAGACTTTCAACTGCCGAAAAAAAATGAATGTGTTAAAAATAGTTATTAATAGTTACCTATTAAAATGCTACTTGAATTGTGTGGGCCAGAAATAATATTCAACCACATCATGATACAGAAATATGTATAAGTACAGGCTGGAGAGAGAATGAAAATGCATTTTATTATTGCTGCCCTGCATATTATCAGGCTGCGCAGTGTAACAGGCCAAAAAATAACTGAAAAACAACAAAAGAAGGTCTTTTAATGTCAGTAAATACCCAGTTTACTGAGTTATAGTTATTATTTACAAACATTTTTGTTTTTGAATGCGTGTACACTGTTATATAGCGATGTATTAATAGCCTACATTTTTGTTTAGTCAAAAGGCTATACATAGGATTAATATCTTGTTTTCTGCAGGGACAGATGAGCAGGCACTGTTCATCAACTTGATCATTTCCACGGCAACGAGTAAAACAGTCTCGAGGCCTGTCTATCAGCCGTTTGCAGTCTCTTCCCTTGCAGACTTTACGTGATGACGGTAAATACGTCACACTACGTACAACTGAAGTCAGTGAGGGCCCAGTCAGCAAGTCCAGAGGGTGGGCATTTGGATTCAGCCCATGACACCTACCTGCGGCCTATCTTGATGAATCAACCACTAATAGTGGCGCAACAGTAGTGGGTAGAAAAGCAAATAAATCTGCTTTTTTTGCGCAGATTTTCTGAAAATCCAGCCAAAAGTTGTGCCACATTTGGATGGAAACCTGACTTATGTGCTCTTGGAAGAGTTCTGGTAACAGCCCAGCCAGAGACAATATGCACTGGCTTATGCAATGACCATACGTCATGACTGTACATCGTCATTTATTCACTTAATCTGTTTTCTTTTGCACTTAGTCACATTAACCTTTTCCACCTTCCCCAGGCATATATGATTTTCCAGAACCCAACCCAATTAAAACTCATTTAGTAATGCTTCATAGCACGGCAGTCAGTTGACGCCATTGGTGTCACATGTATAGATAGAAGACAGTGATTTCTTGCAGCTTATGTTCAAAGTGAAGATGACTGCATTCCATGTGGTGCAATATCAACAATACTTTAGCACCTTGCTGCACTGACTAATTATATAACGCACATCACTTATTATGTGTAGGTGCATCTCTGTTGGTGTCAAGTGGAAGCTAGATAAATACCTTCACCTGTGTTTATGTGTTTTGTATGCTGCACCAGCATGTGGGTCTGACTGTTGTCTCTCTGTCTGTCCTCCACTGTGGGTCCTCAGGGTGCTGCAGAGCGAGTACAGGAGGCTCAAGTGGAAGCACGAGGAGGCAGCGTCGGTGCCCATGCTGACCGAGGCCGGAGAGGGCAGTCCAGGTTCACCCACGGAGGGAGGGCAGCAGGATGAGGAGCTCCTGGCCGAGGCACGAGTCCTGCGGCAACACAAGACGCGCCTGGAGACCCGTATGCAGATACTGGAGGACCACAACAAACAGCTGGAGTCCCAGCTTCGCAGGCTCAGGGAGCTACTGCTACAGGTACAACGCAGAGAGAAGTTCCGTTGTTTGTGTTCAGTTAATTACTCATTTTGAGCAAGTAAATATTTATTTGTATTCATTTATTATTCAATAGGTTTTTTCTCCATATACGGTTGAATTGTGAGCTTGTCTGTAAACCAATTTAGATTTTTTTCATGTTTACCTGACCTATAGTGCACTGACCAACAGACTCAAAGTTACGCTAACTCAGGAAACTATTTGGAAATAATTAGGACTGTATGGACACATCAGTCAAAGCATTATCCTAATTTGCGGTAGATCAAAACTTTGCATCATATAAAGTAGTTAAAATTAGCTTCAACTTCACCAGCTACAACTGTAATATGCTGCTCATATGAATGCACCAACATTAGCAATTAATGATATATAATAATAATCAGGGCTGTCAAACAATTAGTCATTTAACTGTGATTAATCACTGAATTATTGCATATTTTGAATTCCATTATTTTGTAATTCAAAACAGTTTTAAAGTCCATATTAACAAGGTAAAGCAAATCTCATCATTGTTTGGGCATCAAAGTCATTCAAGGTTTGATTCTTTTTTAAAAAGTGGGGCGCCAGTCAGAATCATGTCTGACAGATAATTATGAAACAGAGAGAAAATAACTCTGTCAAACCATAGGCCACAAAACAATAAAGCACACAGCAAATGATGAAATATATCACCAAAAACCAGCACGGCACAAACAAATAGAGCACAGCTCAGTGCGGTTCAAAAGGTGTATTCAATCAGTAAACAAACAAAGCAATTATGGTGTGTGTGTGTGTGTGTGTGCATGGGAAAAATCAGCCCACGATCTCAAGAGTTCAGTCCACTGAGTCTGTTTTTTGTTTTCCCGACAACTTTTCACAGTCCAGTCCCAGGCCAGTTTTTAACAACCAAAAGAAAATATAACTTTACCGTCAGCTCTGGGTTTTACTACAGATCCCCCAAAAACAAATCAGGAAATCAAAATGCAAAATAGTGTCTATATCGCAGTTCAGTGACAGGAAATTATTTATAATATATAAAAAATACTTGCGGGTGCATATTACTTTTGACCTGTCAACTTTGTAGTCTGGCAGTTTTTTAAAGTGAAATGAGCCTTTAAATAAGTGCAGTGGTGTCTTATTTTCCATCACTGCAGCTAAAACAGGGGTAGGCAACCTGCGGCTCCAGAGCCACATTCGGCCCTTTAGGCCCTCCAATGGCTCCCTGTGGCTTTGACCAAAAGTTACGCTACATGGGAGTGAATTACGGTTATTTTTGAACATTTTCATTTATCATTGTTGTAGGCCTTACGTGATTCTTACATTATCCAAATGTAAAAATGTGTAACATATACATCTACAACAAATGTAAAAAATGTTTTAACATTTCGTAAACAAAAATGTGAGTCATATCTATGTCTGCAACCTGGTGCCTTTTCTCTAAAATTTTGGGAATATATATATTTTGCGGCTCCAGACAGATTTAGTTAATTTATTTTTGGACCCAAAATGGCTCTTCTGGTAGTAACGGTGGCACCCCTGGTGTAGACTGGTAATACTCCTGTACTTCCTTCTTTATTTTTTCTTTTGCTCATCCCCCATACTCTACTGTGCATGGGACATAAAAGAAGAAATGCAGAATTTAGAGTAATTAATCTATGAAAAGAAGGATAGTAACCGTAAAAGAAAGCCTTTCACATTGTGCATTTTCCTTTGATGGATTAAACAGTACAGTACAGTAACTGAAAATAGGTTAGGTCATTAGTAACTAGTATTCCATCTTCCTTAGTGGCTGCTTTATCTGTGCAGCTGATAGTTTGTGAAACATTTCCTCCAGAGCATCTGAGTGCTTCCTCCAACAAACTTGAGTTAATACCTTCTCTTTTGCAGGGTCCTCATGTACAGATATGGTATTCATTTTGTAATTCTGTGCAGATGATACACAACTGTATGTCCAGAAGAAAGCCTTGTACCACTCATGAGCCCGTCCAGCCTTGCTGAAATTAAGAATTGGAATTCCAAAAGTGTCCTGCAGTTGAATGCCTCCAAATCAGAGACAGTTGTGATTACCTGGCCTCAGCACCAGCTGCATTAGCACTGTTGTCTTTTTTAAAATTGTATAAATCCAACTTACACAAGACTCTGCTGGCAGACTTTTAAGACGGTCTCAGAGAAGCAACTATCACTCAAATCCTTTCTGCCCTTCAGTGTTTACCTGTGAGTTTTAGCATTGATTTTAAGGTTCTGTGATCTGCTAACTCCCTCTGAGCATGATCGCTGCTTGAGATCCTCTGGCAGGGCCCTACCAATGGTTCCAAAATCTTAACTTCTCATTAAGGGTAATCAGGCCTTTGCTATCCAGGACCCTCAGCTGTGGAAGTCAATGCTTGATGAACACTAAAGGTCAAAAGTATGATCCCTTCAGTCACTAATGTGTCAATCGTCAACAGTGTCTGCTCTGCTGAGGGGTTCTGCTTAAATGCATCAGCTGTATTTCTAACATGCATCTGAAGTGCAGCTACAGCTTGAATAAAGGGCACAGGCAGACACAGACGTTCAGTGGGTTTCAACATTTGTATGCATCACAGAGCATCAGGTAGCACGGTGCTTTACATGCAGTCTGAAAGGCAAAGAAATAAATGTGCAAAATGACAACTGTGCAAAAATGTAAATTCTGAACTTTAAAGATGTACTATCATAAGGTGGAAACACCAAAAGGAGGAGTACAAAACGCACAGTATAGGTAGAGTTAAGAAAGGATAAGCCTTAAGACACTTGGAGCGTAATATAAAAGGATTTACTGCAGAGGGTAGGGGGGTAGGAGAGTGGGAGCTGACACACAATTACTGGGTTAGTATATTAAAGTGTAAATTGTCCATCGTGGGAGTACAAATGTAAATTGTGCATGCAGGTCACTGAATAAAGAGACAGCAGAGGGAGTGAGTGACAAGAGAGAAAAACACTTAGGAGGGACAGGATGCTTCTTCTTCAGGTTAAAGACTTGGAAATTGAGAGTAAGAAGAGAAGAGAAGGAGGCGGAGGAGGATATACACACTCCTGGGTAACAAAAATGCACTTCTTTTTCTCCCAGGAACAATATCACAGTTTCATTTTCTCGAAAAATAAAATCAGTGAAATCTGCCTTTGTAGTCTGTGAAAAGTTTATGTATGAATTCCTCCCAGTCTCTGCAGACACCCCAGCCTCACTGCAACTACTGAACTTACTCACCTCCTGAGTATTGCTACAGTGTTGCTGAAAACAATACAAAAGATGGTGCATATATATATATGTGATATTTGGGGAATATCCTCCAGAGTTACATTATGCATCTTTGATTGTGATTTGAGACCTCCCCCCCACCCACTGACTGCAACGCTGCTGTGTGCACTGCAATTCACCACCTTTTTATCTGTCAATCAAAGCACAAATCATAGTAACCTGATGGTTTCGTGTAACGGCTGTCAGGGAAAATTGCCTTTTTAAAAAAATAATAGTTCTGCTCAGAGATCGAGGGCTGCTGGCTAAGTGCCATTAACTATCACATTCATTACTATGTGAAAGGCTAAATGTCTCCGCGGCATGAAACATGATGGATGTGAGCAATTATTTGATTTGAATGATAATCAGTCTTCCCTAAAAACAGCCCAAAGATGACTCAGAGGCCAACGGATCAGAGCCGTCAACCCTGTCTTCTCCTGTGTCTGGAGGGGGTCACCACGGGGAGCCGGCCAGCAGAGAGACCACTGACACTGAAGCAGCAGGTCAGCGACGTGCAGCCATGCTTTAGATGTGGGCTTGACACATGCACGCACGTTGAATGTGAAACCATGCATCCTCCCCTCCCATCCCCCACCTAACCATTCAGAGAAGTGTAACCTTCTGTGTGTGTGTGTGTGTGTGTGTGTGTTAGGAGATGATATGGAGCACGAACAGGATACGGTGCTGCAGCTCCAGGAAGTCATCGAGCAGCTGAGAAACGTCTTCCCTTCAGAACCGGGTGAGTTCTGCTATGGCTGCACGGACAGCAGCAGCCCACGCTTCGGAGACAGTCTCTTTGCTCCTCCATCACCCAGGGGAGAGGGAGAGATGGAGAGGAGAGCAAATATGTACTGCTGTGGGTCGATCGTCGGGGGGAGGGACGGTGTGATTAAATGGCAGGGAGGAGGAGTAAGATAAAGAGAGACGGCGGCACGGAGAGAGAAAGGGAGCGTCACTGTCGCACACTTTGCAAACTGTCCCGTCGCATTTAAAACGCAATTTGCTGGGCAGTCCAAAGCCTGTAACTTGAACAAAGAAAGGGATTATCATAATTATAGCCTCCTCGGTTATAACCAAGAACATTTTCTCAGCCTTGTGCATGCTTCTCTAAACTTGTAAAAGCTTTTTCCTTTTTTTCCCCTCTTCTTCTATTTCCTAATTTCAGGCACCACCTCACACATCTAACCCCATGTGGGCCTGGAGGAGCAGAGTGAAAGCCTGAAAGGACGCCTGATGGCAGAGGGAGGGGCTCCACACGGCTGAGGTCAGGCCACAGTACACCAGGCCCCTGTGACCACTGCAGCAGCTATGATACCCAGAGCTAACCCTCGACTGGAATCTGTGCACTAAAAGCCTTTTTCATGCAAACTGCCGAAGGCTCACGCTGATGTCCGTTTGGCCGGGCTGCGCCTCGTAACTTCAGTGGCGCAGCCTGACGCTATGTTAACGAGCCAAAGGAAACTAACATTAGCAGCAGGTTAGGGAGAGACTAAAGTAACAGGAACACGCCCAGCCAAGACACTGTGCTTACCAGTATCTGTGTAGTCGTCCGGAGGTGTGAAGCTTTATATGTCCACAGCACAAATTGGACCTTCCATGAGGAGAACTTTAAAAAATGCAAAAAGGAATATGAAGAATATCCCCTTGTTTTGTCAGAATGCCTGTATCTTCAGTGTTTTATTTTCTCCTTGGATGTGTTATCATGGTTGTTATTTTTGTTTGTGTTTTTTGCAGGGAGGTGGTGCGCTAAAGCTTGCGAGAGTAAACTAGATCAGGGCTGGGCTGACTGCATTTCATGTGGCTGCGTGGCGCAGATTGTCAGGGGGTTGACAGCACCCACAACGAGCTTATTTACTTTGTGAGAATGACACATCATCAGTTAAATCCATGATTTATTTAAGACAGCCAAAGTGCCCGCTAGCACAGCGCCTCTGTATGCACACACTGTGTTCCTCTAATCCTCTCAAACTGCTTGTCGCTCTCATTGCTCGCCTCTCCTAAGTGAGCCCTTTACGCTCGTACAGAACCACGCGCACTCACCGTACACACACACACACACACACACACACACACACACACGTACGCTGCTACATCCAGGCTCTCTATTTACAATACACCCTTCCTTCATTGTGCACAAAAGGCTCCCTGCATGATCAATAACATGTGCCATGCTGCGTCACTAAAAATACAGACATAAAAATGGAGATCCATTTCATCTCTTTGGCTCGCCGGATTTAGAAGCGCTCTCAGTTTTGAGCCAATTTGTATTGTGGCTGAAATTGGGTTTTGTTGAGGAAATGTCTGCCGATAAATATCAGCATGCAGGCGCCTGCTCTGGGATCTTAGCGTTCTCCTGCTGTGTGTGGAGAAAGAGAAGGAAGCAGTTCCAGGCGATAGTGCTGCAAGGCTGAAGCTTTCTCCCTCTTTCTCTTTGCTAGGCCAATTGACACTACAGGGGGGCAACACCACTATAACGCGGTCCTACACTGACATCATCCCTAATAATCCCTCTTCGCCATGTAGATGTGAAAAGAACAGTAGCTATTGATTCTACATGCCTCATTTTCCCGCACTAATGCGTACTTAATTGCTTTTAGATTTACAAAGAAGACGAGTGGTTAAAATGGCTTTGCCCTCATCGTATCAGGGTCGTTGGGAGCGTTCTGTTCTAAACATAGCACAGTCAATGAATGCCTTAAAACCAAACTGAATCCATATATAACAAGAGTTAGTCTTTATAGGCTCATTTTTTCATCATTTTTACATTCAGGGAAGGAGGTTGCATCAGGAGGAGTGTGTGTTTGTGCATCAGGAGGAGTGTGTGTTCATGCGATGAATGTGGGCAAATAGGAAGAATGGTGAAGCGTGGATCGCAGAGCATGAACAACCATACCTTGCAACCAGTTAAATAGGGCTTTTATGGGTGAACCCGTGATGCTGGAGGTGCTTGGAGGGACTACAGATCTGACAAACAAGAGAGGAAAGGTTGGAAAAAAAACCCCAATCCATTTATTGCTCGAGGGCTGGTGGAGAGATCCACTTTGATGTGCCTGCCACAGCGAAATCTCCAGAAGCAGGACAAGAGGATGCCCGAAAAAAGTAAGCTGTGGCTCTTTGTGTTTCTCGGCAAATCATAACGCCTCGTTCTCACAGAAAGCGCAGATATACCCAGTTAGGAATTCATCCTAAACCTTAAAACGGCACTCTGACCTCACACACAAGTTTGAAACCCGTGTGCTGCATTCATTACGGGCTCCCCCTCCAGGCACACAGCGCTCACATTTTGACATCGTCCTCCTCAGCACTCGCTGCCTGTTAGTTTTGATACTGTTGCTAGGGAACTGTCCCCAAGGATGCAGTTCCACAGGTTTGCAAGTTGGAAAGGTGATGTACCGTTCATAATACAAATGCTAATAGCCTTAAGGGAAGCAAGAGAGAGCGCCCCTTTTTCGTCTTCTCCACTTCCTCCTCCCCTGAAGCCTGTTGCTGTTTAGCTGCTGAAGACAGTCATTATCATCTGTTGGATCCATCTCCACATGTGCATCACTTAAAGATTTGCTCTGGTGAAGCGCTCACAAGTCAGAACAAAAAGCAGCAGCTCGGCTTGTGGGTGAAAAAAAAAAAAAAGAATAAGCCATGACAAGTAATGTTTATTCATAGACATTAATTTATTGGTATTCACACATCTCATTACGCATTGATGATCGCACTTTTATCTCCATACACAAAATGATGTAACAGTGACAGCGTGTGAAAAGAGGAGAGGAGTAACTCCCTATAGGGCTGCCTGTCATCATAAGCCGTGTTTATTTTAAGACACTATAGAGGGCAGATTGGAATAAATACAGTGGGTGGTTACACGAGTACGGAGGCCCTAAGAGGCAGGTGATGATTTTACTGTTTCCCCCATCTGTGTAAACAGGTGTTTGTTGTTGTAATGCTAATTTCGGCCACAAACGTGCACAACTATCCCATGTTCGAAATAGGATTACAAGCATTCATGTTTCTTCAGGGTGAGTTTAATTTCTCTATGCACTCTAAACACAAGTCATTGTGTGTTAGCAAGTTATATAACATTATTGTCATGTCTCTCTTTCGGCCAGAAATGTATTTTAATCAGTGCTTTCAACCAAGGAGGACTCTTATACATCGCCAGGGCGGGTGTCAGAAAAGGCAGGTATATTTATTCGGGGTGTGTGGTGATTTATATTAAGCACGTTATCTGTGATTCGTGAATGCAACATATAGGCCTACTGACAGTAGCGGTTAGCCCGCTAGCTAGCGAGTGAAAAACATCGAACCAACAGCTAACTAGGGCTGCAACTAACAATTATTTTCATTGTAGACTAATCTGTCGATTATTTCTTCGATTAGTCAACTAATCATTTTATCGAAAAATGTGTTAAAATGTTGAAAAATGTCGGTCTGTCTCTCCCAAACCCTAAAATTCAAACCCTAAAATTATAATTTTCTATGAAAAATGACTCAAACCGATTAGTCGACTACTAAAATAGTCACCAATTATTTTAATAGTCGATTAGTCGTCGTTGCAGCCCTCCAGCTAACCAATCTAAGTTTATTGTAACATTAGTCATGGTAATGGTGACACCTCAGTCCTTACTGGTGGGATGTTTTACCAATAATTTTTTTTTTAAAGATTAGAAAAAACACCTGTTTTCAGTGATGCTAAAAAAAACTGAAAAAATGATTGTGTAAAAATTATATTTTTCACCTGTTTTCACTAACGAGACAAATATTTGAAAAACTTCAACAACTGTTTTCAGTGATGAATATATATATATATATATATATATGTATGTATTTTTTTTTTAAAAATTTTTTCCACCTGTTTTAAAGGATGAAAAAAAAACTTGGAAAATGGATTCTGGAAATTAAAATATTTTCCATCTGTTTTAGAAAAATGATGAGCAGAAAAAAAAAGTCTTTCTTGCCTCTCGGGGCTTCTGTAGTAATGTAATGGACCCACCTAGTGTATTTATTTCAGTCTGCCTCCTCCATTTTGTCTTAAATAAATGCGACCAATGGTGACAGGCAGTTTGCCTCTCAGGGCTTCCTTACACGACACAGTATATGACCATATACAGTTTGTCCCCTTGTGTCGCTCTGCTGCTGTTTGACACCAGCGTCTAAATTAACTCTGATGGCCATTCAGCTGCAGGAGAGCATCTGATCCATGTACACATCTCTGCACTGGTAGTGACTCCCTATATTCCCCACACACATGCCGAAACATACCCTGCTCCCTGTGGCGTGACTGAGGCTGTGTGATTGAAGGAAGCGGCTCTCCACTAGAGACGAGTGTCACCCCAGAGTGGACACTGCTGCTATCTCTCTCCAGACTTCTGTTACTGCATGTAGCCAGCCAACACGCTAACGATCATCACGCCCCTGCCTCTGTGTCACAGACCTCCATGTTTACTATCACATATCTAAGCTTGTATGTCACCTCTCACATAACAGGGCAATGAATCACCTAACCTCAAACAAGGTGTTGATTACACTAACACGTACAGTATATACACACACACTCATACCTTACTGGTGAACTGAGTTTTCTTTTTTTTTTTTAATCACCATTAATATACCTCATTAATCACTCAGATGTTTATCGTTTAATGGTTTTGATTTGATGTTATTGTCCAGCACTCAAACACTTCTTGCTGTCTTTTCTCTGGAGTTTTTAATCTGTATAAAAAGTTTTCTGAAGAAAGGCTTTTTACTGTAATAACAAGTGGGTTACTGGCTGCTTTCTACTCTTTGTGTACAGAAATAAAAACTTTGTATTTGGCAAACTCATTGTCTGCCTGTGCTTTTGTATGTGCCTGCAGTTATCCCTTTGAGAACTGAATAATGAAACTTAACTCAGAATGGTGCCAAACACAGGCTGTTTATATTAATTTTTCTCCTTGTGTTTATATTTGGATTTGTATGTGGCAGAATCAATATTTCCTGTTGAGACTTGAGGCTTGGCTGTTTATCACTCATCTCTCCTGCTGCTTCACTTCCTACACCCGTAATACTGTTTAGTCTAAAGGGGTAGTTCAGGTCTTTTGAAGTGGGGTTGTATGAGGTACTTATCCATAGTCAGTGCAGTAGATGTCAGTCTGCACGCACCCAGTTTAGAGATGCAGACAGTACCATCGCCAAAGCTAAGCAATGTACTGCTGTGGACGGGGGGCAGCAGCAAAATATATTTTAGCCACCTAAAAAAATCAGTATTAGTTTAAAGTAGGGTTGTCGTTAATTTAGATTAATTCATCACAAAAAAAAAACTTTAACAAAATAAATGCTGATTAATCTTGTTCTGTGGTGCCCTTTGACTCAGTGTGTCACTAAAGGCCACAGTGGCTTTGTCTCATGATGGAGGCAGACGAGACAACGCTGCTTGGCCCCGTGAATGGAACTTTTACATTAGTAAGGTATTTTCATACCATCGGAGTACTTCAAGCCTGAAATATCACCTCAACACAAAGCATTTAGCAGCGAACCTGGAGGTCCGAGCTAGCACAGCCTATTGTGCTAGCGCTAGCAGGCAGTCTCGTCAAGTCACACAACCAGGCGTTCAGACAGTCTACCTCCCATGCAAAATGTATTGCAATGGACTACAGATCAGTTTCAGTGGTAGAGGACAGGGGGACAAGACACATCTGCCAAAATTCATTTTAACTGAAATTTTTGAAATACTTTCACAGCAAAAGTTAATGGATGTGATTACTTTAGATGTTTTAATCACGGAGCATGTAATGAATTAGATTTTTTTTTTTTTTAAACCCTTGACAGCCCTAGTTTAAAGGTATACTATGCAGGATTGATGGTTACTATTTCTAAACACACTTGCCAGCAAAAGTGAGAGTAAAGCCAACCCCAGATTCACTCTCGTTTGGCATTTTGCCTCGCTTTATTGCATTTTTTCAGCACTGTGTCTCTAGCTTGCATGCTGCCTACATTCTGGCACCTGGTCGCTACCTTTTTGTTTAAAAATCCCAACTACACCTGAGTGCTCTGGGAGTACACTTTCACAAACATCCCAAACACAGACTAAAAGAAAACAGGCAGAGGACACAGTCTCTGCGGAATAATACACCACCACCCACTGAGAGTGGGTCATAAGTGAAGATTGAGAGGGATTACTTCTGTATGAGTCTATATATTGTTCTTTAAAAAAGTCTGGCCTAGTATATCTTTAACTGTACACTATTTTGACAGCTTTACTTTGACTTTGCCGCAGACAGCCCTTTCCGACCAGGAAGACATTAACAGCTTCAGTTGTTCATGTACGCTCTCGTCAAAGCCACCATACTCCATTGAGAAAAACAGTAATTTTAGTGCCCTGGACATGGGAGTTGCTCGTCTACCGTTGCCTCAATCAGTGAGATTGTTTGTGTCATTGTATGACTTTAGTAAATCCGAGTGAACCCTTTGAAATACCAAAATCACACAGTAACACAAACAAACTGACCGATGAAGGCGGCAGTAGCCCAGCAGTTACTGTGTTTGGCAGTAATGTTAAATTACTGTATTTCCCAATGGAGTCTGGCTTTGACAAGAGCGATTTAACGGCTTCAGTTTCCCATCAGAAATGGCTGCCTTACAGCAAGGTAAAGCCCCTGTGTTCCTTTAACAATTCCAGCCCATTTGTCTATTCTGTTTGAGTGCCACCATTTCCTGTCTTATCACAGGTGGCTTTGTTCCCTTTGCTTGTTCTGCTTGAGCCCGGTGCAGCACTTGATTGGCATTTGACCTTCTTGCTGCCCTTATCCCTCGCTGATCTCTTGCTCACTACATTATCTTCGCCTGTGCTGGTGGGCACGGGATTGCTATCTTTATCTGTCGCTCGATTATCTGGTGCACCCTGCCCGTCCTCGTGAACCACGACACTCTCTATATTTTCATTATCTAACCCCTCTCCACTCGCTCTCCCACTCACGAGCTCTTTATTACGCTGCTCTGCTTTCACATCTGGATCTTTCTCTGTTCCTGCATCATCCGCTCCCTGCGTCTCAGCAGGGGTGGGTTTCTCTGAGCTTTCCTTGTCTTCTGCTTTACTGTCTTCTGTCTTCTTATCTGCTTGAGTTTTTCCTTTCTGTGCACATTTGACGAACTTCTTTCTTGCTGCACTCCTTGCCTTGCTCCCACCAGGCCCCCACTTCTCCTGTGTTGTATCCCAGTATGTCTTGTTCTGAAGGGCGTGCTTGGTACGTACTCTCTCAGCCAGCTTTCTCAGTTCCTGGCGGACGAACGGTCTGAACGTTGGGTCTAATTTCTCCACCATGTCAAAGTCCCTCCGAGCTTCATCTTCGTTGCACAAAGCAGCATGTGCTCGTGCCCGCTGGTATACAGCCTTAAAGTTTCCTACAGGAAAAGACAGTGTAGGAGTATGAATGACTGAGATGTTGACATATAAACACTACATGAGGCATCGAGAAGAAACAGGAGGTCAGCAAGAATAAAACTGGGAATGAATAAAAAGTTATAGGGTGAAATAAACTACTAGATGGAGGATGAAACAACTGCACTGAACACCAGCAGTGAGACAGAGACTGACAAAGTAGAAGACGAAAGTTGGGGAGAAGTAAATGAAGGGAAAAGGAAAGCATAAGAACAACCATTTCACATCAGCTTCAACTATAAATAATTCAGTCATAGCAGAAACAAAAAGAAAACAATGAATTCATTTTTGGCTGTGATGTCCATGGGTGGGAGCCGGGGGAACGAAAGAAGAGACTCAGCGATGCGGTTGTGAATGTTTGGTTTCTTCTTTCCCTGGTAAACAGAGAGATCAAGGACTGCTGCAGTGAGAAGGAAGGCGTTTGCTGAGGGCCAGGCATTTGTACGCGCAACTGATCTTGATATTTTTAAGCTCAAAAATGAAGGTGTGTAAGGGGAAAAAACGAGCATGTTTATATATACCCATGTACCTATATTTCCACATCAAAATACGTCTTTTTCTTCCCTCCCCTGCTTCAAACTCTCATCTTCACACTAACATGTATTACCTTTATGTTTCTTTAGCAGCTCGTTGTTGAGCTCCACCACTTGCTGGTATTGTTTGAGCTCCAGCATACACTGGCTCTGGTTGAGAGTGAGAGGAAGACGCACTTTCTCCAGCGACTCCCAGTCCTCGTCCTGTTGATCCACCTGCTGAGCACACAGAGAGGACAAGGTGGGTAGGCGGTGGTGGAGGTGATAGATGGCAGAGGAAATGTCGAGAAGATGAAACAAGAAGCGTGACAACGGAAAAGAGAGATGAAGATATAAGGGGTTGGTAGGAATGATGAAGAAAAGGACACAGAGATGAGGTAAAGGGCGGAGGAATGTAAGAACAGGAGGAGAATGAAGACTGAAGGTGGTGGGTGGATGAGAAGAAGAAGTTTGTTGCGTGTAAAAGGCGTGAGGGAGTTAGACAGCGAGGTGTGGCAGGAGTGAGGGAGTAGAGAAAAGAAGCCCAGGCGAGCGCTGTCATAGTGATATCTCTGTGCTGTTATATTTAGCGCTCTTTTCTCTGCTCTTCACTTTGCTACCTACAATGTCACAGCTGCTCTTCAGTAAAAAAAAAAAAAAAAAAAGAGAGAGAGAGAAACAATGACAGATGATTATAGTTTGTGAGCCGCAATCCTTTTGTGAAAATTCTCTCTGGCACATTCGATCCATTCATCACGCTGAATGGAGTGGACTGTTAATATGCTCTGCATCAATCCTCACATCCACCTGGACAATCAATGTCATCATAGAAGGTTTAATTTTACATTTTCCAGAAAATACTACATTACTTCTCATGTGCATGGATGGATTACTGAACAGACCTAAGCCCAGGGGCTCAAAGTGTTAGTGTCCTCTGTAGCCTTCACATGCAAAATGTGACTCAAATTAACACATGCGAGCCAGGGAGAGATTTAGAATGACCACAAATAGACACAAAAAGACCACAAAGTTACTAAAAATAACTACTAAAAGAGGCAAAACAACCACAGTGAGACACTAAGAGACCAAAGAAATTACAAAATTACCTCAAGAGACCCAATACCAATACATAGAGACACAAAACAACCCTGAAGAGAAACAGAAAGACCACAGAGACACACAAAACAACTATAAAAGGACAACAAACAACCACAAAGAGAAACTAAATATAGAGACACAAAACAAATACAAAGATACACAAAACAACTACAGTGAGACAGAAAATGACCACAAAGACACAAAACAACCACAAAGAGACACTAAACAAAAGAGACACACAATAACACAAAATGACCACTAAAAGACACAAAACAAATACAAAGAGACAAAAAATGACAGCGAAGACACACAAAATAACCACAAAGAGACACACAATGACTAGAGAGAGACACAAAACGACCACAGAGACACAAAATGACCGCCAAAAGACACAAAACAACCACAAAGAGACACAAAATGACCACAAAGAGACACAAAACGACTACAAAGAGACAGCAAATGACCACAAAAAGACACAAAACAAATACAAAGAGACAAAAAATGACAGCAAAGAGACACAAAACAACCACAAAGAGACACATAATGACTAGAGAGAGATACAAAACGACCACAAACACAAAATGACCGCCAAAAGACACAAAACAACCACAAAGAGACACAAAATAACCAGAGACACAAAATAACCACAAAGAGACACAAAATAACCACAAAGACACAAAATAACCACAAAGAGACACAAAACAAATACAAAGAGACACAAAATAACCACAAACACACAAAAAATAACCACAAAGAGACACAAAATAACCACAAACACAAAAAATAACCACAAAGAGACACAAAATAACCATAAACACACAAAAAATAACCACAAAGAGACACAAAATAACCACAGAGACACAAAACAAATACAAAGAGGAACAAAATAACCACAAAGAGACACAAAACAAATACAAAGAGACACAAAACAAATACAAAGAGACACAAAATAACCACAAACACACAAAAAATAACCAAACACACAAAAAATAACCACAAAGAGACACAAAATAACCACAAACACACAAAATAACCACAAAGAGACACAAAATAACCATAAACACACAAAAAATAACCACAAAGAGACACAAAATAACCACAGAGACACAAAACAAATACAAAGAGGAACAAAATAACCACAAAGAGACACAAAACAAATACAAAGAGACACAAAACAAATACAAAGAGACACAAAATAACCACAAACACACAAAAAATAACCAAACACACAAAAAATAACCACAAAGAGACACAAAATAACCACAAACACACAAGAAATAACCACAAAGAGACACAAAATAACCACAAAGAGACACAAATCATCTACAAAAAAAGACACAAAAAATAACCACAAACACACAAAAAATAACCACAAAGAGACACAAAATAACCACAAAGAGACACAAATCATCTACAAAAAGATACAAAAAACAACTACAAAGAGACACAAAATGACCACAAAGAGACACAAAACAATGACGCAGAGACAGAAAACGACTGCAAAGAGACACAAAATCACCACAAACTCTGTGTGTCTTGCTCCTGTGTAGGAGATATGGTGGGGCCTTTGGCATATCTGTTCTCAGGGGTCCACTGTCTCATGATCCACCTGTACTTGTGTGCATGCTTCTACATCACTTCACTACATACTCAGTGACACTTACTGTATTCTGAAGGTGGTCCACGTATTCTAAGGCCTCCTTGAACTTCACAGAAGCCTCTTCAAAGTGGTTTTCTTTCATGAGGAAGTTTCCTTCGCTCTGCAGCAACATGACCAGTCGTAACATCTGCTGCCAGTCCTTTCCATCCGTTTTATTGGCAGCATTCAGATTGATCTCAGAAGAGCTCGCTTCCTCTTTATTTGTTCCCTCAGTTGGTGTAACTTTATTTCCCCCGGGTTCCTCTTTATGGGCTTCAGCACAGATAACAGAAGGAGATTCTTCTTCACCTTTTTCTTCCCCCACTTCATCTTTACTCTCTGTGGTCACACTTTCGCTGTCCTCTTGTTTCCCTTTGTCTTCCACCACCCCCTTCTCCTCCTCCTCTTCTTCATCTTCATCTGTGTTCTCCTTTTTCTCCAGCATGTTCCAGTATTTCTCCTTCTCCTCCCAGTACTTCTCCTTCATGCTCTCTGACAGCGCCCTCAGCTCTCGGTTGACGAGAGAGGCCAGAGTGACGTCCAGGTGGGCCACCATGTTGAAGTCTCTGCGCGCTTCCTTTTCATTCCACACGGCAGCGTGGGCCTTGGCTCTTTTGTAGTAGCCCTTCACCAAGTCTGGGAAACACAAAAATAACACAACAGGATGATGAGGGAAGAAAAGCATGAATAAAGTCAGAGTTATTAATGTCTAACCCTGAGATATTGAATAATAAACCTGCTCTGCCTGCTGAGGCTGAGGTGGCAATTTGTTTGCATTTGGGACACTGTGTGGGTGTGTAGTGTCAGTGTGTGTAAGTCCAACCAGCCTTGAGTTTGTACAACAAAAAATAAACCAAAAATGCATGCATCTTTATTCTGAACTCAAGCCTTGTGTCTTAACGTAAAAGTTTGACATTGTCCGAAATACTCTTATTCCCTTTACCACTCTCATGTCTGTCTGTTAAACACAAAGCTACAGCCAGCAGCCAGTTAGCTCCGCACCAACACTGCAAACAGACAGCCAAGCTCCGTCCAGCTATAACAAAATTCACCTTTACATCTCACTAATTAACACATTAAATCTTGTTGTTTTAACTGTAAGGAACAAAGTGTACAAAACTACAGTTTTCTTCATTTTATGGGCAGTTACTGTGCCCGGCCAAGAAATACTGAGACACATAACTCCTCATAAAACAGCAAATTGTCGTTTTTACAGTTTCGTTTTTGTGTGGATAAAACAAACATGATATAGCGAGTTAATTAGTGAGCTTCAGAGGTGGATTTTGTACCTTTGGACTGAGCCAGGCTAGCTGTTTCACCCCGTTCTCAGTCTTTGTGCTCAGCTAAGGTTACTTGCTTTTAGCTGTAACCTTATGTCGAGACTTCAGTACTCACAAGCTACTCATTTGGTATTGATTCCTTTTAACAAATCAAGTGTGTCTGTGTCTGAATCAGTTCAACTTTGACTCTTGGGGGACAGGTCATGTCTACCCAACATCTCTAAACCAGCATTTGCTCTCACCCTGACAGGTTTTATCTCAGCTGCTAGGATCATCCCTTGCTACTGGGAAAGTCAAGTCAGACCTGAATATAGAGAGTGGGTTAAGTTAATTACAGAGTTAATGACAGTCAATGTGCATAACAATAGAGAGTCATATTTGCTTGTCTGGAATCAGATTTTGTCTTTTATAAAAGGACTAAACGTGTCATAGGAGCGAGACACTGTTCTGAAATGAATTACAGTTGTAACATACAGATGGAGGGAGTGGGCTTTAGTTTCTTTTGCGTTGGTTGTATCATAGGGACCTTTTTTTGTTTGTTTGTTTCCAGACTTGATGTGTAGAGTAGGTCACCTGATGATATAAGTATTAGTGCTGTGCTGATGGACTTTTGAATCATTAATGTTATGAACACTACAGAGATGTGTTTTTGTTTAGTCTGTGCTGTTTGTGTTTATGTGTTTGTTTTTTGTGTTGCTGTTCTTAAAATTGAAAAAACACCTCTATAAAATACTTAAAAATCAACAATGAAATTATATAAATACAGAACAGGGGTGGCTGCATCATTTCCAGATGTTTTCAGTACTTTTGTATGATGTTTGTGCCAAAACGGAACTGACATATTTAGCTGGCGTGTGTCACATGACTGTGAAACCATACACCCATCAGTCAAAACATTAAAACCACTGGCGGTTGAAGTGAATAACATTGATCATCTTGTTACAGTGCAATATTCCATTGGGAAACCTTGGGTCCTGGAATTCATGTAATCACTACCTGATATGCTCCACCCACCCGAACACCGTTACAGACCAAGTGAACCCCCTTATGGCAACAGCACTGGTCTATGGCAGTGGTCCCCCATTAGGACAATGCGACATGCCACACCACAAAAACTGCGCAGGAATGACCCCAGGAATGGGACAAAGAGCTCAAGGCATTAACTAGCCCTACAAATACTCCAGATCCCAATCTGATCGAACATCTGAGGGACGTGCTGGTACCCCAGAGATACCGCCAATCCATGGTTGGTGCTACTTGGACCAGACTTGGCTCTGATCTGTCAAGGCCTAACACATTACCTCTGGAGGGTGTCCTTTGGTGTCCGGCACTAATGCATTAGCTTCAGATCTTTTGGGTCCTGTGGGTTGTTAGGCCGGGTAACAGCACGTCCCACAAATGTTTGATCAGATGAGGATCTGGGGAAATTCTAGGCCAGGTCAATGCCTTGAGCTCTTTGTCATGTTCCTCAGGTCATTCCTGAGCAGTTTTCGTGGTGTGGTAAGGTACATTGTCTTGCTGGGGGGCCACAGCTACTGGGAAGTGCCGCTGCCATGAGGGGGGGTTCCTGGTCTACACTGGTGTTTAGGTGGGTGGAGCGTGTCTGGTGGCAACCACATGAATGTCACATCCCAAGGTTTCCCAAGAGAACATTGCATTGTATCAAGATGATCAATGTTGCTCACGTCACCTGCCAGTGGTTTTAATGTTTTGGCTGATCTGTGTATGTGACATCAGCACCAAGCATGCAAAGTCGCACACTGAGAGAACGGCAGAATGGAAGCATAGCGTTGTGTGGTGCTTCTCTTCACCTGTAGATAAAGATACAGCAAGATGGACTATTTGTGACAAAGAAGCAACATAAGACGCCGCTTCAAACATTTAAAAACAACACACCCTGAAGGTTATAAGAAGGCTGGACAAAAACAAGACATGCCCATTATTAATTTGTAAAAACTTTGTTATTAATGGCCGGTGTGTCTCATGTAATTTACTTAAGTGTATTCATCTTTTCTTTCTAAAAAATGACCATTAATTTAAAAAATCACATACCCACTAAAGAAATGATCCATATCAGTGAAGTTGCAACTAAAAATATCTGTATCATATTAAATTTTAAAAGTTTGGTATCGCCCATCCCTACCACGAGAGAGGCATCAATCTTCTCATTATCAGACCAACAAAGAGAAGACTCAGCTGCAGGACTCAAAAACACAAGGTCTTTACTAAAAGGAGGTTGATGCACAGAAAAAAACAGTCCAAAAATACAAACAAAGGTTTCCAAAGGCAGAGGGCTTAAGCAGAATACAAAGATGCAAAAATTAGATCAAACCAAAGAGAACACTGAGAATGAATGGCTCAAACATGTGCTTAAACAACTGAGAACGAACTGGCACCAGACAAAGGGCGGCATGTGGGCTGAATACACAAGGGAGGAGAGGTAATGAGGGACAGGTGAAACCAATCAGGGCAGGGCAGGTAATCACACAGGAGGGAAACACACAGGGGCAGGAAGTACCTGCAACGAGAGACAAGGGTGAGTAAACAAGGAAAGCATGACCTTGATGGGGGCCTCAGGGTGTAACACTTATCTAACTCTTCACCAGGAGATTAATATCTTTCCCCAAAATGTTGTACTATTCTTTTTAACCACATGCACACACACATAGAGACACACACACACATAAACACACTGTGATTCCTCTGCTTCAGTAGAATAGGCTCATGTGCTTTGTCAGAGACCCACTGAAGGCTCAGTTTTTCTGTTCCTCTGCATTTAATTTCCCTCAACGCTAAATCTTCATTCAGCCAACATTTAAACAGATTTCTTTGTCGCCTCTGGCACAAGCTGAGACACTGCAGCGAGCCGCCATTGGGTGCTTTTTTAAAGAGCAACTGGGCTGAGGGGATGAAACAGCAGTAGAGTGGCTGACTTGAACTGATACAGACAATATGATTTTGACGACAGGAGGAACAACACCAAGGGGAAGGATGTAATTAAAGTTGAGAGGAAGAGGAGACAAAAGTAGAAAGGAGGGGGAAATGAAACTCTGTGGAGCCAGAAAAGGGCTGGAGAATGGCAACTAAAGACACTGAAAAGGAGAAAAGGAGAAGAAGGGAAAGGTGGAGTGATGCTGGTGTGGGATGGATCACTCTTATAAGCCCGATGAAGAGGGCTGCAGCTTTGTGACGACAGCTTGTAATGGGTCAGTGGAGCTTAGAACTCCTGTCCATCATTCCCATGATACTGCCTCACTCTCATGCTCACTCCCAAACAAGTTTACACCCTCTCTCCTGCCACACGAGCTCAAGCGCAAACATAATACAGGCACACACATCCACAGCTGTACACCACCTCCTGCTACACACACACACACACACACACACACACACACACAAAGACGAATATAAAACTGGGACTCCGGGCTGAGGGACAGAGAGTAAAATAAAAGCTGCCTCTGTGGATCCTGTCTCTGGGTGAGGGGCATAATTCATAAGGCTTTGAAGTGGAGACTGCCAGCATGTGAGCTCCTCTAGGATTATATGAGTAGCCATGGGTATGACAGTACAATGCCCAGGGCTGCTCCAACTGTAAAACCCTTTGTAATGTCAACTGCAGCCCTCCTACATGCTCTCTCAATGAATACACAGCTGCTACATGCTACAGCCACTGCAATAAAGCCAGCACGGGCTTCAGACCCTGACCCGTCAAATTTTACAACATTCTGAAATCATTGTTTTTCTCAGTGTTCATATCCAGGGGTGGAAGTAACTCGGTACAGGCTCTCATTTTACTCATCACTGAGCAGCTTTTCGTGAACATGAATACAAAGAGTAGTTTGACATTTTGTGAAATACTATTATTTGCTTTTTTTTGCTGAGAGTTCGAAAAGGAAATTGTTACAACTCTTGTGTCTGTCTGTTAAAAACCATGTTAAAGAAGGAGATGGTTAGCTCAGTGTGGCACAAGGACTGAAAGCTGGGGGGAAACAACTAACCAGGCTTCCATTTAAAGGTTAAAGAAAATAGTTTCACGCTAAGTTAAGGAAAGCACGCACATCCAGATGATAAAAAACTAGGGACCAAAAAATACAGTCTGCACACCAGACTATGCTCCTCTAATTATTTTCTCTGAGGTAATTTAATTGAATACTTATCGGAACATAGCTTAGTGTGCAGACTATTTTTGTGTCCTAAAGAAAACAGTTTACCAGCCATAGACTGTATAAAAGAAGTGGATGTAGCCTCTGGGAAGTGAAGCCAATGCAGTAGTGCCTTAAACCTGCATTTCTTTTAATGGCCAGCAGGGGGCGACTCAACCAGTTACAAAGGGAAGTCGGATTGTAAAGAAGTCTATAAGAAAATTACCCTACTTCTCAGTTGATTTATTACCTCGTTAAGTCTTAATTCCTCACTAAAACGTGGTGTTCATTTTGTAAATTTTGGTCCCATAAAGAGTCAAATGGATGATAAATGAGGGTTGGTTTAGGGTGTGACATTTGACAAATCACTACAATTGTGACCTGTCAATAGAGTTCTCGGTGTCTCGGTCAGATTCAGGTCACATCATGGATGTATAAAGAGAACTGGATACAGCGTTGGAGGCGGTGAAAATTGTTTAGTTACTAGATTTCTTGGTGTAAAATTACCTGCATCTTCCACATCCATTGTTTATTAGGCCTATATCAAAATATGGAAATGCGGAACAGCTGGAGCTACCTGTGCCATGCTGCTTCTTTGCTTAAAATGAGGATTTTTCAAAAGTTTTCCACCGGTGGCAGATTTGTTTGATTGGATGAACACAGCCTCCTTCTTTCATTCCTTCAACCACCCTCTTGTGAAGGTCAGCATTGCAATATTTTCACATATCCAAAAACCTGTTGATATCCAAGTCTTTGCTAATGTTAAAAATAAGTTATGTGTCTCCTTTCAACCAGATATGTGGGCTTTTCTTTTGGGCATGCATCACCACACCACAGCTTTGCAAACTGCTGGCGAGTTGGTCTGTGAACAACACATCCATAACAACACACAGTGTTGACTGTAAACAAGTGAGAGGTTGTGTGTTGCAAAATGCTGTAAAAACCCTGATTGAGACGCATATTAAACCCAGCATATCCCATGTATCTTTATCCGAAAATGCTAAATTCAGTAAAAGGCCTAAATTGTGAATAACCAAATAGAATACGCTGTTTCAATGACCCATATGAAATTTTGAATAATATTGGAGTATTAGTGTGCATATAAACATAGTCAGTGAGTCCCTGCACATTCACCCCAAACTTCTGCATTGAGCTTAACTGAACAACTCATTTCAGGAAGTGATTCAGTTCAGTTCGTTCACCCAAAATGTTCTTTTGAATTAAACATTTGCGAACAACACACCTCTAGCGCCAGCTCTGTGTAACTGTCAAATCTACCGCCAGTAGACAGTTAGCTTAGCTTAGCAAAAATACTGAAAGCACAAACAGCTATCCTGGCTCTGTAGCTTTAAAGTTGTTGGCAATATGAATTTCTACATTTGAAAAGAGACAACCTAGAGGAACATTTTGCTGCTCACAATAGTCTTTTCTTTTTTTAATCTGTACTTTCCTCTGCTGTAATTTTTTCATTAAGACAAATAACATACACAACATGTAGCAACCACACACGGCATGGAACACATATACATATCTGGGGATCATGTCTTCATGGCTAAGCCTCCCTCTGGCCACCAATTCAGACTTGCCATTAGCATGTTAACTGATTCCGCCCAAACAAGTACCATAACATATACACATCAACAACACATACACACACCAACACACATTTCCACAAATGATGTAATATATAAAACAGGCAAACACATGCCGACAAACACACAAACTCACAAGCATAAACATACACACAAATGTGCAATAAATAGGAGTATTTATTAGACTATTTATTCTATTTCTCCAAAACCTTAAAATAAGGAGTGAAAGAATAAACCAGCAGTAGCTCTTTAGCTGTGCTCATAGGCTTCTCAGAGGTTTCTCAACTCTGAGAACAGATAAAACACCCAGAGTTGAGACTTGAATTTGATCTAAGACAAATTTCTAAAGTTGTGCTGGCAGACAAGTTTTGATCTCACTGTTATCCCAAGAGCTGATTATATCAGACAAATAAAGATGACTGCAGTAAGAGAGGGAAAAGAGCATTTTAAGGTCTTCAGTTAGGATCAAGCCCAAGAGAAAGGCTATTTCTCATAAACTGAAATTAAGAAGTATGAGAAAATGGTAAAAATTTCACAGTGATGTTATACTGAGCTCAGTTATGATTGGGAGGAATAGGTTGGACAAAGAAGAGATCTTATTTTGAAATTACCTTTCCTCTAACTGCTTCCCCCTGGTTCAGGTCTTTATGCTAAGCTAAGCTAACTTCCTCCTGGCTTGGCCACATATTTAGCCATCAGACATGAGAGTGGTATCAGTCTTCTTATGTCACTCTCTGCATCAAAGCCAATAAGCATATTTCCCAAAACTGCTGCAGCTGTGTGAATGTGAAGTTAAGTGACAATGGAAAATTAATTGATTAATTAGTAATCAGAATACAATTCAATCTAAGTCCAACCAGGCATTTACCTTTGTGTTTCTCCAGCAGCTCGTTGGTGTGCTCTATAACTTCATAATACTCCTCCAGCTCCAACATACACTGGCAGTAGTTCAGCTCCAGGGGGATGATCATTCGACCCAAATTAATGTAGTCTATATCACCCGGCATCTCCTACACACGCACAGATGGAAGAACAGGACCACGATCAGTGCTGTTGTGTTTGTTGGCATCTCCTACACATATTTTAATAAATTATTTGAATTCTGTAGTTTTAAATATTTTCACACAGACTCAAACATGACATGACTTTGGGACACTGAAGGATACCCAGAGCATCATCTCTGCCGAGCAGAGCTTTACACGCTGTTAGCGCACAGGCCAACTATCTGTAAGCCTCCAACATCAAACTTGTGAATATGTCCAAAGCTGCCAGAAATCACTCTCTCACACAAAAGGATCCTCTCCACTCTTATCAGAACATCTCATACATAACTCTCCCTCCAGTATTCCTTCAGCCTTACTTCTCCCTCTCATCTTAGACAGTTCTCCACAGCTCTCCCTCCTCTTTCCTTTGCCAGCCCTCCCACCCTACTGCCTGTAATCAGAGACACAGTGAGAAAAACAGGAAAACAGGAATCTCCCACTGGAAAAGAGCTGCAGTTGCATGTCCCAAAAACCTACAATCACGAGAAAACCTCAATATTAACAAGCTTTCACATCACTCATATTACTCCCCCTATCCCATCTTTCTTGCCTAATCCTTCACTCACTCTGGACTGGACTGTTTTCAGCAGCAGGACGGCCTCTTTGTACTTGCTGGCAGCCTCTCTGAATCGTCTCTGCTTGACCAGTGCATTGCCCTGCATGTGGAGAATTGGCACCGTCTGCAGCTTCTCATCCTTTTCCATCATCCATGACTCTCTTTGGTAGGACATGGGGTCTCCCACCTGGAAGCCGCCGAGGCAGGAGAAGCACAACAGAAGGAGTATGTTAACAGGAGAAAAACTCCACTGATGGAGGCACGAGTGAATGCTAAGTAGGTAGAAGTGGCTGAAAGAAATTAAAAGGACGCTTCGGATTGTTTGAAATGGGGCTGTATGAGGTACTTATCCATAGTTAGTGTGTTACCTACAGTAGATGTCAGTCAACACGCCCCCAGTTTTGAGAAGTGGGTAGGAGCACTGCCATGAAAGCTAAGCAATATACTGCTGTGGACAGGGCTAGCAGCAAATTTTATCCATCCTAAAAACAATCAATATCAGTGTAAGTGTGAGCTATATTAATATTTTTGCCACTTAACCTTGCCAACAGTCAGCATTTTCCAACAGGCAACCATTTTAATTGATCTCTTCAAAGCCAGACCCCACTGAGAAAAACAGTAGTTTAATATCGCTGAACACAAGAGATGCTGGTCCAAACCTGCCTGGCTCAGTGAGTTTGATTGTGTTATTGTGTGACTTTGAGGTTTCAAAGGATTAGTCCGAATTCATTGAAGTATTACAGAATTACACACAATTACAGAAACAAACTATGTGACTGACGCAGCTGTAGACCGGAAGCTCCTGTGTTCAGGGAGCTAAAATTACTGTTTTTCTCAATGAAGTCTGGTGGCTTTGACGAGTGCATAGGAGAGGAACTGAATCCATTAATGGCTTCCCTGTCAGAGAAGGCTGTCTGCATCAAGGTAAAGCAGTGAAAGTAGTCTAAATATAGGATACACTGGCCAACCGCCAACAACTGTAGGTAGTTTAAGGGCCCTGACATACTAAGCCAATGGTCAGCCATTGGTCAAAGTTGGGCCGTTGATGAGCATCTGCTGCCCTCGTTGTTGTGATGTTGCCCCTCATTTGCTTTTTTTTTTGGCACACCCCGAGTTTGGAGAAGAAGGTAGGAGTACTGCCATGAAAGCCACAGCAGTATCAACATGTTGAATTGGTGTCGCTACAGCGGAGCCCATCAGTCAATAAAATCACTGATTGGCAGTTCACTCAAGGCATGAGAAGAGAAATGGAAGTGAGGAAAGTAAACAAACAGCCTAAGTCAAGAGGGAGTGAAACCAAAACAAACTTGTTACATAAGCTAAGTTTATTTTGCTTCAGCCACTGATCTCTTCAGCTGAAACATTTTGTGATGGTTTGTGTTATCCTTCACTGGCACACAGTATATATGCTCTGTTCTTTCACTGTTGGATTGTGTTGATAATATGCTAACTGGCTAACAAGCGTCAAGATGGTCTTCCAATTTCCCTTTATGAATGAGGATTACAAACGTCGTCTGCTGGTGTGGAGAGGTATTTCCTCTCAAGCAGGCGCAGAACGTATGTGCTGGCTGACCCTTGGCTGTAGTCTTTGCAGTGTGTTCTTGTGCAATTTCTTTGGCCAAGACACCGTGACGTTATGCAGCAGGAGGCCTTCATCGCTGCTAGTCCTCTAAAGTCATCTGAGCCTTAATACTGTGACTAAAGTACCTCATAAAACCCCACTTCCAAAGATCCAAACTTTACTTTTAAGTACATTTACTCAAAACAAACTTTAAGTTGTTCCAGTACCACTTTCAGATATGCCTCTGATACCGCCTTGGATGCTGGATTGGGTATCAACAAGTACACAAGTCTCTGCACCTTTGCAGTACCACATAATCAATTATTCAATGACAAACTTTAAAGTAGTTTCACACATGGATAAGACGGCACTTCTCCCAGTGATCAGTTCTTCTCCACTGCTCTGAAACAGCAGCCTACAGTGCAAGTTGTCGTCCTCAGCCACTTGCAACTACTGTTTTAGAGCAGCAAAGAGAAATGGATTTTGTGTAAATAATGTAATATTAACCACTAGCAAAACATCAGATTACAGTAGATAATAAAAGAGAGTTATATTGTGTTCATTGTCTGTATGTATTTGTTCAAGTTTTACAAAGGGTTTAACTGTAGCCATGCCGTATAACAATGATGGCAATTATTTCACATCCATGCAGGGATGGCATGAAAGAGCTGTTCAATTATTATTTTTTAAGCAATGGTATTGGATAAGTTATTGGTATCTGCCTATACGCAATTTCAGGAATCAGTATAGGGAAGGACAAAGTGTTATGGTAACATCCATCCATTTTCATCCGCTTATCTGGGGCCAGGTTGTGGGGGCAGCAGGCCAAGCAAAGCACCCCAGACAACCCTCTCCCCAGCAACGTTTTCCAGATATGTAATCCCGCCAGCGTGTTCTGGGTCTGCTACGGGGCCTCCTACCAGTGGGACGTGCCCGGAACAACTCTAAAGGAAGGCACCCAGGAGGCATCCTGATCAGATGCCTGAACCACCTCAACTGACCTCTTTCAACACGAAGGAGCAGCGGCTCTACTCCGAGCTCCCTCCAGATGTCTGAGCTCCTCACCCTATCTCTAAGGCTGATCCCAGCCACCCCATGGAGGAAACTTATTTCAGCCACTTGTATCTGCGACCTCATTCTTTCGGTCACTACCCAAAGCTTATGACCATAGTTGAGAGTTGGGACATAGATGGACGAGTAAATCAAAAGCTTTGCCTTCCGGCTCAGCTCCCTCTTCCCCATGATGGTCCGGCGCAGCGCCTGTGTCACTGCAGAACCCGCACCAAACCGCAGATCCATTGCACGCTCCAGTCTACCCTCACTTGTGAACAAAACCCTGAGATCCTTGGACTCCCTCGCTTGAGGCAGTAACTCTCCCACAACCTGGAGGGGGTAATCCACCGGAGAGATGTTTCCCATATGAGATATGGGAAACATCTCCACACAAAATATTTGATATTGAATTCAAGGTACTTTATGCCTCTACTCCAGCATCTTTCAGAGGGTAATGTATACTTTTTATATATTTGTTTGACAGCTTGTTACTTTGATTTTACCTACGAAACATGACATATTTAAAGATTAAAGGACTTGCATAACCAAACAGATGTTTTCAGTTGTGTTGCTGATTAGATCTGCTCAGGTTAAAGTTGTGTGACTCTCTGTAAGCACATTTTTCTGGTACTATTGTTATTTTAAATGGACTTTTACTTGTGACTGTTTTTACATTGTGGTATTGTTGCTTCTACTTAGGCTAAGGATCTGAATACTTCCTCCACCACTGAAGGGCTGTCAACTTGTGTGGGGAAATGCATTGTGAAGTTTTCTGAAACAGGGAGGATGTTAATTTCCTGCCTCTGCTGGACCCCCCGGTGAGTCTCAAGCTTGTTCTGGATAGCATATTCCTTCAAAGCTGAAGGAGAACTTGTCATCTCTGTCACTGGATTTTCAAATAACAGTATGTAGGAGTGCCTCGATTCTAAGAGGAGGGCTGGATGAATAAGTAAATGTCTTTTTCTACTGTCAGCTTATGTTTACAGAGTCTCAAATCTGAGAAAAGCTGATAATGAGCGGACAGATGATTGTTCTACATTGTCATCTCCTTTGCTATCCACTGTGACATACAGTTTTTTGCCACTGGTGCTTACCTGCAACAGCTCCATGATGAATATAAGTGGTTGAGGAGTTCTCATGAGCTCATCCAGCTCTGGGTAACCAGTGGAGTGATAGTGGAACAAGTTTCCCATGCCGCACATGTGTCTCTGGCCCTCTAGGGGGTCTTTCCCCTGAGCGATTAGCCTCATTCCCTTGGACACGATGGGGTACAAGCCTGTGTGCTGCAAAATGATCTCATCAACAAAAACATAAACAACGGGTCTGCAACAAGACATCGAAGCACTTAATCACGCTAACCCCCTGGTGCTGCCAGCCAGCGCCAATCAGCCCTACAAGGAAAACACAAAAAAATGGCCACAATTTCACTTGCAAATTACATTTTTCTCCAAAGGAAAACCATTTAAATTTGCACAAAAAGATTGCTCTGTTTGTGTTTATAATACTGAGCATGTAGGAGCCTTCAGAAGGTTGATTAATGTGCATCATAATGACAAGCAAAGCTTCCATTCCTCGCTCATGAGCACTCATTAGGACCTCTTTTAGGAGGCCTAATATCTGTCTGTGTGTGTATGTGTGTGTAAAGTCTGTAGTTTAACTCACAACAGCATCACACCAGAACTCAGCCACCTCTCCAACCCTCATAGACATCAGCAGGGTCTCCCAGACCTCCATCTTGAACATCTTCCCAACAAATATCTCAGCCGGCCTGCCAGCCAGTCGACTGTCATCGATCACTGTTCGTTCAAAGTTGTCCAGCAGTGTCTGGAAATTGAAAACCAGCTGGGAAAGAAGGAGCAAGCAGGGGATGGAAAGTGTTACAGGGTGGAAATTAAAGAATTAAACTCTTCATCATTTACTTTTTACTTTAAGGGAATACTTCAGCCCATAAATGATCATTTGTTAATCACTTACTCACGCTGTTACATACACTGAACAAAAATATAAACGCTATGTCTGCAATATAAACACTTTTGTTTTTGCTCCCATTTTTCATGAGCTGAACTCAAAGATCTAAAACATTTTCTATGCACACAAAAGACCATTTCCCTCAAATATTGTTCACAAATCTGTCTAAATCTGTGTTAGTGAGCACTTCTCCTTTGCCGAGATAATCCATCCCACCTCACAGGTGTGGCATATCAAGATGCAGATTAGACAGCATGAATATTTGCACAGGTGTGCCTTAGGCTGGCCACAATAAAAGGCCACTCTGCTCTATATTCTTGGTCAAATGTGTCTAAAGGCTCTGGCGGATGTGAAAAACGTGGAAAATTTTAATAACAGACAAAAGTTTTGGACTTAGTGTGCAAACATGATTGACACAACGTGAGATCGTATTTATTTTTAGACATGCAACAATGAAAATGAAAAAAACAAACAGTGTGCAAAGGTCTTAACTTGGATCCCAATGACTTCAGTTCATTTTGAATTTTCTCCTTTAATGGATTCTCCATTCACCGGGGAGGCATGTGAGAAAAACAGTGTTTTGTTTACCAATTCAGTGTAACACGGGGTGAGTAGTTGATATACAAATAGTTATTTGGGGGGTGAAGTATTCCTTTAAAACAAATTGAGTTCATGTACTGAAGAATCCTCTGTGGAAATGTTTCACAGGAGGTCCTTGAATAATGTATGTATCCATGTATAGGTACATATAGGCTATGTATGTTTTCTATTCTCCTTTCTCTGACATTGATACATAACAGTTCACAACAGATGGAGAAAAACACTTTGTCAACCTTTACAATATGCTTGATGTATGTATTTTCAAAATATTTAATTGGACTGAATACTGTCACATATTTCTGTCACTCCTTATGTAACACATACATGCTGGTGTTCATTATGTGTTCCATCTGTTTGTGTGCATGTGAAAGACTTCTTCACCATTTCTCCGACTGTACAGATTACATTGGCTCCATGTAACCTTCTATTTATAGCTTGACAGATTGTGTATAATGGTATGATAACTGTGTGAGCTACTGGGAATCACCTCACTGGTGACGGACACACGCACGCGCACACACACACACACACACACACACACACACACACACACACACACACACACACATTGTAATTCAGACACACAGGTAAATTCATGCTGGCATTGTCATGGAAAATGTTTGTCACAGTGTCCAGGCCTGGTGCCATATGGCTGGATTTGACTTGGAGGGGAAAAAAGTCGGTGACCAGCGGATCAGTGGATGAACAGAAACACAGACACTGTGCCAAAAAACATGTTGCAATTTGGTTGACCAAATGTTTGCTCTGTGTGTAAGAGCCAGATACAGAATACATTTCCTCACTTAATGAATAATTCAACAGGGTCTAATTGAAGTGGGCAATGCAACACATAGATAAAAATAGACCTTTTTTTTCCTTTGGAATATTAATTACATCACAATGATAATTATGTGAGGACTAATTTCCTATCATATTGAGTTTTAGTCTAGTGATATTTAGGTTATTGTATTAACTGAGACTTTCTACCTTTGTCCCAGGTGGAAAGTGTGGCAGCGGTCCAGAGCCTCCTGCCAGAATCTTCTTCCTGACTCCCGGATGGTTGAGCAGGTACGTCTCCTCCATTGTCACTCTGCCTTGAGCAGTACCAGACAGAAAAGTGTGTGTTTTGGAGATTTCCTTTTCCCCTCTCTGGGTCTGTGTTCTTCTGGCTTCCTAATTAGCCTAGTGGAGAGAGTCTTGGCTGGTTAGCTGCTCTCTGACAGATGGCAGGATTAAGCAGGGTTTGGAGGTGGACACTTTAATCTGAGGAGCTAATCTCTTGCCTACCCCTGCAATTGGTGGGCAGTCCCTGCGGAAAGGAGCAGGAGAGGCGGGGATGACCACAGAACCCACGAGAAAGGCCCAGATCACTCTCGAAGAAGTTAAGATCATTGGAAGGAAGCATAAGCGGCACTGATGGGAGGCCTCTACCTTACACAGGAGGGTGGAGAGGAAGTGGCTCATTAACCTCTGACAGTAACAGTGCCTAAATTTGAACCAGGGCTGCAATCAGTTATTTTCAGTGTTGATTATTACAACCTGAAGCCCAAGGTCATGTCATGAATTTCTCTTTTTTATCCTCTCAAAAACCCAAAGACTTTCAATTTATGACCACAGAAGACAAAGAAAAGCAGCAAATCCAATATTTGAGACTCAGGGAGGAATTTTTGCTTGAAAAATGACTTTAGTAGCAAATAAAAAGAGTTGCAGATTGATGATTTCAGCTCTAATTTGAACAGGAAGAGATCTAATATGTGAGAAACTCAAAAATGATTAAACCTGGGATTTTGAGTTTAAGTCTAAATTGTCCCAATAAGGTTTAAATCCAGTGAACTCAGCAGAAGTTACACTAAAAACATTAGTAAGCAGTAACAAAGATACAATACTGTCTGCTGCCAGTGCCACAGTCAGCTAAAATGTAACCCAGTTTAAAGACACAGTGAAATGAAAAATACATTTTCCAAATTCGTTCTTAACTTTGTGTCCCTGTGATCATTGTTAATCTCTTGTGACGTGCTAAATATGTGCCAAAAAAATCTGTGCCTCTCATCTCTCTTCCTTGTAATGCATAAAATATTTTTGATGACTCATCTTGACATAAATTGAACCAATGAAATGTGATTCAGAGTGACTGGCTAACCCATTATATAAAGCTGCACTTGGCTGTTAGCTAATGTGAGGAGCTAGCAGAGTAATATAGTAGGATGTGTGTGTGTGTGTGTGTGTGTGTGTGTGTGCTTGGATTTTAGCTGGTAAACCTATGAAATCAATTAGTGTGGTAAGTGGACCTGCAGTTGTGTGGGGCCTTTCTAGTCATCTGACCACTTAAAGCACGTTTTACCCATTCACCCATTCACCCATTCACACACACCCTGTACAAGCTAGGTAACACACTCACACAGATGGAGCAGCCACGGGGAGCAATTTAGGGTTCAGTATCTTGATCAAAGATACTTCAACATGCAGACTGGAGGAGCCAGGGATCAAACCACTGATCTTCTAATTGGTAGATGACTTGTTCTACCTTCTGAGTCACAGATGCCACTGATTGAGGTATAATTTCTGAATTTAACCTTTAATTGCCACCTTCCTCCTTTTGGTGTTACATGGCCCATGATGTAGTATGAAGGATTTGATTTAAACCACCATACTTCCTAAACCCTGCCCACATATTCAGATCTCATAGAAAAAGTCATATTACATATGTTAAAGGAATGTCTGGTCAACAGAAAATCCAAAAACTGAGAAAATTCTTGATGAACTTAAGTAAGAGGTCTGTGTTTAACAGCACAGCTATATCAAAGCATCTGTTTACAAAGTCTCACACACCTCATGTAGTATAATCCAAGTCTCGTCTATCCTGTTGTATGCTCAGTGATAATAACAATAATAGTAATAAACTTTGTCTATAGCACCTTTCAAAATACAGTGATTTGAATAAAAGACAAATAAAACAAGATAAAAGTGTTAAAAACAGAATATACAATACAGAGTAAAACACGCAATAATGAAGCAGGTAAAATCAACAAAAGGCAGTTTTAAACAAGTAGGTTTTCAGACGTGATTTCAAAGATGAGACTGAGTTTGCAGCCCTGATCTCCTCAGGCAGGTCATTACAAAGTCGAGAGCTCTGACTGCAAAGGCTCTATCACCTTTGTGAATTCATCTAGACGTAGGAACAGCAAGGAAAGATGCATCTGAGGATCTCAGGGTGTGAGAAGGAACAAAGGACAATCAAAGTCAGTTTTAACCTCTTGGGACATGAAAGAAAAAATGTTTGTTGTGTTGATTTTTTAAACATAAACTAGATAATTGGGATGTAAGAAAATATCGCAAATATTTTTTCTCAGAAATGTAATTTATGTTTTATAACATGTCCCTTATAGTGGACATAAAGTCAATCAATTTTTTTTTTAAAAAGTACATTACATTGACATTAATGTTACATAATAAAATTCATGTTTAAGAAATGTATTATCAAAGGTTTTTTGCATGCTTTTAACTGGTTATACACAGTGTGTATAATCAGACAAAGAAATTTACATGTCTGACTTTTCCTCATTAATTTTCAACAAAATCTCTTCTGGCTCCCTCAGTGCTGTTTCCTCAAGTATGGAAAATGAAAGGAAGCAAGTCTCACTGTCCCCAAAGAGGACACTGGTTAGAATGTGTACTTTGAAAGGCTTAAAATGAACATATACTTCTAAAAACTTAATGTAATATAGTTCAGACTCTCATTAAAAAAAAACATCATTATTGAGGAACAATTTCTCTGTATAAATATGATCACTTAATTCCTCCTTTTGTAAAGACAGAGGATATGCTCTGCTGGGGACATCCTCACATGTGTTACACCACTTAAAAGCCCGGGATGTCCTTTTTTAACAGTACATCAGGACTCAAATCAACTACATGTGTGATGTTGGAAATGAAGGCCTCAGTCTCATGTCCCCCACATTCATATTTGTCATATAAATTGCTGGGTTGCAGCAGGATATAACTTGAAGCAAGGCCTCTCAGGGCTTTGTCAGTAATCAATAAGATCTTAAAATCAATTCTAAAAGCAACAGGTAACCAGTGTAGGAAAGCCAGGATTGGTGTGATGTACCTCCCACACTCTGTATTTGCTAAATCCTTACTATCTAAAACTGAACTGAAAGTGAAACATATCTATGTTCTCCTCAAAGCCAGACTCCATTGACAAAAAACGTTAATTTTACCTCACTGAACACAGGAGCTGCTGGTCTACTGCCGCCATGATTGGCAGTCAGGTTGTGTGACGGTGTGACTTCGGTTGTGGTGACCTCTATGAGTTTAATTCATCAAGATTTTTCTCCATTTCTGGATTCTCCACTGACAAGAGGCTTGCGAGAAAAACAGTTTTGTTCACATATTAAACGTAGCATGGGGTGAATAATTAATGTGCAAACTGTCATTTGGGGGGGTGATGTATTACTTTAAATTCAATTCAATCTTTTTTAAAGAGCTTAATATCACAAATCACAGCATACGACATCCCTTTATCCTTGGACCCTCGCAGCAAACAAGGAAAAACTCCCCCAAAAATCCCTTTGACGGTAAAAAAAGATGCTCCAATTTTAGTTTCTGTGTTTCTAACAATTTGTGAGGAAGTTTCATTCACATAACGACAGTAAAAAGGACGTTAATGACCAACATCAAACTGCCCACATGTACAATCTGTGCTCTGATGCAAAAAAAAACAGTTTCCAGTTCTTTGATACTCGTATCACTGTAATTTATTCTTCATGAAAAGAATGAAATGAAATACAAAGAAGGTGTTTCGTCTGAGAGAACATTTAGCTTCACGATGACAAGTAAAAATATTCACAGTTGAAACCAAATATTTAAATCATACAGTAACAAACAAATTCTGTCAACCTAATAAAAACTGTCTTTTAATACATAAATCAGTATGCTGTGTGAATAATGTATGGCAAGACAAACTGAAAGGAATGACACAGCAAGTCAGCTAATAAAGACTCCCTCCTTCCTGGATGAAGGCTTCTCCTCCTCTTCCTCACGTGTGTGTATGTGTGGCTGAAGATGACATGAGGCTGCCCCCTGGTGGTCACTTCTCGATCAGTGAGTCCAGCTGCTCCTGCAGGGAGGCCAGCTGTTGGAGCAGAAAATAGAAGTGGTGATTGATGCCCGACAGCCCTGGGGTGTAATTGGAGGGTAAGTGGATGATGATTAACATGTCTTTTCACATTAATTTGCTGCCTTCATTTGTCAATACAAACAACGACCCAAGACAGTGGGTGGCCGCTATGCCATAGCTGCAGAGGGGACTCCGCTGGTCACCGCTGACAAATTAAATTTCAAGTGATTGAATTTGAACCCTGCTATCAGGCATGAAAACCGTTGGGTCTAAAAAGGACAGTGAGCACAATGCCATCTGCTAACACACTATTTGACATTTATACAAGATAAATTCATGCGAAGTGCTGAAAGCTGTGGAGAGCTCACAGCGAGGCACTGATCCATGGCTTTTACGGAAAGGTTCTCACCTGCTCCATCTCACGCTCCTCCTGCTGAATAATCTCATCCAACAAAGCTTGGAAGCGGTTCTGTGAGAAGAGAAGAGACAAACAAGATTTGTTCGCGCCGACATGCTGAGCCTCATTAAACTGTGATGGCTTTAAATGCGTGTCTGCCTGGGCTGCTCGTGTCGCCATCTCCTCTCTGACAGAAAGGCCACTTGGAATGCCAGTCAGAGACAGCTGACCTTTTCCCTGCGACTGTGATAATAACGACTGGAGATGGGGCTTTGACGCTCCCAAAACACCGGGCAATGAGAGCTCTAAATGGCAACGTAAAAAGGGCCATGTCTGCTCATGTTTCACTCATTGAAAAGTCTCCACTAAAGAGCGCCTGGCAGAACAATGAATTTTCATGCCACTTTTTCTGCATAGAAATGCGTCTATAGTGACAAGCTGACGGGAAAATGTAATATTTAAGGCTTTAAAAATATGAAAAACGGCCTCCGACACTGTGTAATCAGCTGTTTTTATGTTGTCTCACATCACTGTTGAGAGAACTTATGCTGCATGAAGACTTCTGCCTCCAAGCTCATCTGCATGTTCTTGTTTATGTTTCTGTACATGAAGACCTAGTTTCTGAATTAGTGAGAAAACTGTGTGTGTGTGTGTGTTTGTGTTTGCTGCTTACTTTGAGAGCCTGGTTTTCCACTTTCATGATGAGCTCCTCCTGCTGTTTCTTCCGTGCGCGGGTTTCCTGGAGCTTGGCCTTGATGCCGTTGATCTGCACCTGATACTCCATTACTGCGGGAAAACAGCAGGAGGTTCACACATTAACCACTGTCACAAATAACACTCTGACAGTAGGGATGTTTCTAATTACTTGTTTCCCTGTTGTTTAAACAAAAGTTTAAACTTAGACCTGTCGACTAGTCTAAAAGTAAGAAAACATTCATAAAATCTATAAAGTTAAACACAGTCAGAATCATACACTGCGCATATTGTAAGAGCCACTTGAAATTGTTAATGACATTTTCCAGCAATTCTTTGCAAACATGACAACATCTCACAAATAAAGAATGAACAAATAACACTTATTTACTGAGTATTTAACATTCCACCTCATCTCCATCCAAAAACACACACACACACACACACTCAAGAGGTAACTCTCTCATGCATGCAAATTGACACGACACACACACATACGTCCAGGCTTCTCATACCCTTTCTCTACCAAACTCCCTTTAATCGTTTCTGTTCAGGATTCTTGGAACTTTGGTGCCATCACATAAACCAGCCCATGTTTCTACCGGTTTTAAGTGGAACCATTGTAATCAAGAAGGCGCCATTAACGGAGAACGCTGCATCATGTAAAACAGAGGTAAACAGTAGTAGCAAGACGGCAGGTCGCACTGATTACCTGTGAGCTTTTGTTCTGTTATTACAGATATTGATTTTTATCCAAAAAACAAGCAACTATTAATGAGACCACTACACGCTCTGTTTTCTAATCTTTATTCTTGCCCCAGCATCCTCTCTTTCCAACATGTGGAATGTGCCACGCCCACTGATGTCGTCACGGTTTGCACATCACATCAGGTCAAGGTTTGATTCGAGCTGGGGACAAACCTTTTAGATTCCAAGCTAATTTATTTTCGGTCGAAATGCTTTGAGAGGTTTGAAATTAGGTGCAGGAACGTGAATGGAGCCTGTTTTAAGTTAGTGGAAAAGGGGGTATCAGGATTTCCAATGGACCCAACTAATAACATCCTGAGCACTCGACGACATCCAGCAGCCGGCGTGACTGTGTGTGAGTCTGAGAGCGCACTTGTGTGTGCAAGAGAGAAAGTTGTTGATGCTCAGAGCTGGTGGTTAGTCACGCATGTCGATCCAAACTTGTTTTCCTCTAGTTATCTTAATAAGTTTAACCAACTCATATTTGTGGTGCCGACTAGTGAGGGTGGCAATGTTTAATCGACACATCCCTATCAGACAGCATGTCATTTATGCTTTATTGTGAGGAGTAGATAGAAAAAGCAGGAGTGATGATGTGACATAATTTGAGAGCAACACTACACTCACAAAGCCGTGAGGGTAAGATATGCACCTTAGCTTGTTGAACCACAAGGATGCCTCCATTTCAGTTGACAAATTGCAGTTAATGGGAACAACAAATCCATTTAACAGGACGTGAGCCAGCAGGCTGGAGCACTAAAAGACACAACTAAATCAGTCTGCTCCGGGCTCCACAGAGGGTTCTCATTAAATCCAGCCAAAGTGATTGTGCCTCACAACAACAACCTGTGGCTCCATCACCATCACCATCAACTAACTTCCAAACTAATTGTGCTCATCCTCTGCTTCCCCCCAAACTGACTCTCAGTGCTCTGATAAAGCCCATCTAATATGCAAAGCCAAGCAGGAAGGCGTCCCTGAAGTCCCATTTATTACAACATTGCAAGGCTGCCACACACACACACACACACACACACACACACACAGCCAGACTCCAGCTCTGCTTGACTGCAGCAGTGGAGCTGACCGGTAGTGGTGTTGACTGACAGCTCCATGTATGTAGATAAGGAGGCATTGAGCTGTCAGGCTGGACAGCTGTCTGAGGTTCACGCTGGGCCACAACACCTGTCAGACTGTTAAATCGAGGAGGAGAGCTGTCTGTGTGTGCATCTCTGTGGGCGCAGCACGTGTATTTAAGTCAAAGTAGGGCTACTCATGAGTGTGTGCGTGATGTCTGGCCTAGAAAACTCAGCTCTGATCAACCACAGACACCTGGCTGAGGTTATTTATGACCTCTGCTTTGACAAGTATCAAAAGGGGTTTGATTTAATTTCATGTCTCACGTCTACGACTGCATTCTGAGAACAGCATGCCAAGTTCTCGGCTGTGACCTCTTTGACTGAAAAATGACAGAATATAAGTTGGCAGAAAGAATCAGCATTCACACCAAGGTGTGATGCAAGTTGCAAGCACAGCAGGAGAGATTGCGTAATTCTAAAGCTGCACTTACTTCCTCCACCTACATACACACACTTTTTCTGAATAACTTACACATTCTCACCTTTATAACAGATGTACATAAACACACACATACGTCCATATGGTCATACATCCATAGGTTACATATCAAAGAGTTTCAACTTGTTTTTCAGTTACAATATTCCACCACCTTTTTCAGACCTGAGTTTTTGAACTGTTAACAATTTGTAAGTGATATGCAAACTGTATTTCTGACGACAAGTAATATAACATGTCAGCAGGGCTGCAGCTGACATGTTTTTTCACTGACGATTAATCTGTTGATTAATTTTTTCAATTAGTAATTAAAAATAGTAAAAAATGTTGATCCAATGTGCTATATTGTTGCTGTTAGAGCCCAAGGAGATGTTGCTTGTTCTGTCCAGCCAACAGTCTAAATAGTCTAAATTTAAAGGTGCTGTACGCGACATTAAAAGCATTAATACAACAGCAACCGAGAAGATTCTCAGTCATCCTCTTAAAGGGATAGTGCACCCAAAAATGAAAATTCAGCCATTATCTACTCACCCATATGCCGAGGGAGGCCCTGGTGAAGTTTTAGAGTGCTCACATCCCTTGCGGAGATCGGCGGGCGGAGTGGATAGCACACCTAATGGCAGATGGAGCCCCAGACTAACGTCCAAGAGCACAAAATTGAATCCACAGAGTACCTCCATACTGCTCATCCATAGTGATCCAAGTGTGCTGCAGCCGCGACATAAAAAGTTGTTTCAAAAAACATCATATGAACTCTGTTTTTAGCCTCACTGTAGACTGTAGCTCTGACTGCTTCTCTGTGCTCCACGTTCACGTGTGCGTGCCTGCGCAAGACCAGCGAAAGCATGAGCTTTGCTCACCCGTGTTTACATCACCTGACACGTGCACCGCAGGGGGAGACAGCAGTAGCCACGTCGCTAAAAGATAATTTGCACTACGGTCTTTTAGCAAAGGACAGCCCAACATGTCTGAAAACTTTGAAATTGAGGAGGAACAGCATTTCTTTGTTGAGCCGTATTTGTTTGAGCCCGAGTATAGGGACGGAACTCAGGCTACTGACTACTACGGAATTCAGGCGGCTGGCTGAGGGTCAGGCTCATGAGCTGCGGCAGCTGCTTCGTCCAGTAGCCTGAGTTCTGTCCGTATACTGGGGCTCAAACAAATACGGCTCAACAAAGAAATGCTGTTCCTTCTTCAGAAATGTTGGGCTGTCCTTTGCTAAAAGACTGTAGTGTAAATTATCTTTTAGCGACTGTGGCTACTGCTGTCTCCCCCTGCGGTGCACGTGTCACGTGAAGTAAACACGGGTGAGCAAAGCTCATGTTTTCGCTGGTCTCGCGCAAGCACGCACACGTGAACGTGGAGCACAGAGAAGCAGTCAGAGCTACAGGCTACAGTGAGGCTAAAAACAGAGTTCATATGATGTTTTTCGAAACAACTTTTTATGTCGCAGCTGCAGCACACGTGGATCACTATGGATGAGCAGTATGGAGGTACTCTGTGGATTCAATTTTGTGTTCTTGGACGTTAGTCTGGGGCGCCATCTGCCATTAGGTGTGCTATCCACTCCGCCCGCCGATCTCCGCAAGGGATGTGAGCACTCTAAAACTTCACCAGGGCCTCCCGCGGCATATGGGTGAGTAGATAATGGCTGAATTTTCATTTTTGGGTGCACTATCCCTTTAAGTACAGAATCTCCTTCTCCACTGTTTATGGGTGCCCTTGAAGAGAATCAGGCTGATGTTATTGTCAGTCTCCACGACTACATCAGTAGTCATCTCTGCAGTGGCGCACTAAAAATTTTGCCAACTTCCTGAAAGTCAAATAATAGGCACCTCTACTTGTACATTGTCTCTCTGTGGTATCTGTAGTCATGGTAAGTCATTTTGGTTTTTGGTGCTTAATCAAAGGATCATTCTGGCTCTTTGGCCCCGATGTTCAGCCTGTTGGTTGTTTCACATTTTGTCAGATGAAATGAGGAAAGCTACAGCAGAAGATAGGAAAACCTGAAGGTTGCTGTTGCTGTGTTGTAACGGATGTAACACTGACTGTGTTGTGTTTACTGTAGGTCTGTCTTTCTTTCAGCACTGATATTAATGGAGGTTGTTAATTTATGTTACACATGAAGGCACGGCAGATAACAGTAGTGTTGTCACTTCAAGTAGTGACATTAAGAATTAAACTGTATTTCTAGGTAGCGTGGTGGTGACGTCATTACTGTCTGAGTCAAATAGCATGCATAGCATTGTAATTGACCAAGTGGTGCAGTGGCGTCCATACAAGTTACAAGCTCCTTTTCCCAAGAAAAACTCTGGAGTGCAGCAAACTTTTTTCCAGCGGGTCTGGATGAAATTAAGGACAATAGAAGTGGGGATGAGTCATGCAACTGATGCCAGCGCCACATCGGGGCATGTTTTGTTTTTGTTTTGTTTTTTTTAACTGTATTCAACAATAAAATGTACAAAAGCATCATAAAACTTACAAGAGGCTACATGAGAGCTGAAACAAATTGCAATGAAAGATGAACAAATAATAAAGTAAGAAGATGACAAACAACAACAAAAAACAGTTAATTTCACATCATCAAATATTTTTTTGTGATATTGTAAAAATGTGTTACATTTCTGTTGTTCATAAGACCAAGGTAGTTCAACACTGAGTTAAATTAAATTAAAAAAAGATGGAAAGAGGGTTGTGAACCTAAGAACTTCTGTTTATGAATAAAGAATTTCCCTGATAAAATAAAGAAGTTAACGTAAGTCAGAAACTTGTTTATCATATCTCATAGCTCATATCATCATGGTAACAGATTATATCATTTAGAGTAAAACAGCGAGTGATAATCGTAATATTGAAAGCATGAAAACTTAAATCAGACCAAAATTTCATTGTTATTCTACACTGAAAAAAATAAATGAATCAATGTTTCATCGGCATGTCCACAAAAGGACACGAGTCAGCACTGATTATAACAAATCTATATTGATTGATTACCCATTTTCATCAGTTTACATTCATAATAATAAAATAAGTGATATCAACAAGCTGACACTGTATGCCACAGTGAGTGTGGTGGAAAAATATATTTAAGCTTCTGTATTATACAACCTATAATATATTTTTATTATATTTTATGCCTACATTGGCCCTTCCTATACATCAAGTAGATACCTACAGCAATAAATGACGATGGTAATGTTAGTTATTTTAAGAGCTCCTATAGATGGTCTTTTTTAATAAGATAATTATTTGTTATTCCCATAGCGGGTAAATTTGCAGTGTAAAGGGGATTGTGTAATAAGAAGAAGCATCAGCAAACATAACTGGTGTGTCGTGCAATTATTCTTTTAACACTGAAGGCTAATCTGGAAATTAATTCCTCCTCTTCTCGTTCAGTGAGCAGACATGCTGGTTCCACAGCTGCTCCTTCAGACTCTGGAAGAGCTGCGCCAAGATGACTTTAAAAAGCTTAAATGGTTTCTCTCAATGGACATCTTGGACAGCTGCAAACCAATTCCTGTTTCCCGTCTTGAGAAGGCATCCCGGTGGGACACTGTGAGCAGGATGATCGAGAGCTACAGTGAACATTTGGCTGTGAGCATCACTGTTGAGATTCTGAAGAAGATGAGCAACAACAACAACGCTGCAGAGAGGTTACAGAAAACCTACACAGGTACAGCAAATCAATGAGTTCATAGACGATGTTTAATATTAGCTAATTTGTGTCTTTTATTGATTATCCGTTTCTTGGTCTTTATTTCCCAGAGGGAGCAGCAGCACAGGAGAAAGTCTCTTATTCTCTTGTAACCTCCTCGTCTGCTTTGGGTCTTCCAACTGCTCAGAGAATCTCTACTGATGGAGCAGCTGGTGCCATGCTATTTCTAAAATGAGATGTCCTACACCTAATACTCTGGAGTCTCCTGCCAGAAGGCAGAAGCTTAAAAAACAGAGGAAGCAGGGTGTGAGGGATCTCCCATCACCTTCTCCCCCTTTTGCTTAATGCGTGTGGCATATAAGGAGGCCACAGAAGGAAGGTCACAGCCTACAATCTTTGATGCCGTGCATACCACTCTTTCTAGCTGTGTCTTGTTGTGCTCAGTTGTGTTTCCACACCACATCGTCACTGAAAATGTGAGAACACACTCAACTGTCACTCTATAGAAGCTGAGTTTCCCATCCCTGGAGACCCCAATCGTCCTTAACTGACGCAGTGAGTGAAGCCTCTGGTGGGCCCGACTAATAATGTTGCTGGTGTTAACTTCCCACTTTAAGTTGTCACATAGGGTTGTTCCTAGGAATTTAAAATTACTTCCTCGCTCCACCTTTTGACCATAGATAAGCAGAGGAGGGTGAACTGCATCACCACGCCGAAAGTCTATGATCATTTCCTTTGTTTTGGTGATGAAAGACAAAGTGCATTTTATTTTTTACCTCAGAAACAAGGACAAGAAGTTCCACATTTAGTTCATGTGTTGACAACTGAGCAAACTCCATCCACTGAGGACGACATTGAGGTGTGGTTAAAAGCTCCAGCAACAGCTAGGGGGTGTTAAGATTCTTTTTTTTTTTTTTTTTGCAAGAATAAATTGTTGTGTGTGCTCATTAGTGTCATGTATATGGTGAAAAGCTCTGATAAACTCACAGTACACTCCCAGGAGACATACTAACAACAAGCCAATGAACATTCACTTTTCACTCTGGAGGTACAAAAACAGAACTAAAAGGGGAGACAATATTGGACTTACACAGTTGTGTGATGTAACTAAATACATTAACTGAAGAACTGTACTTAAATACCAAATTGAGGTAAAGTAGGGGAAACCGGGGATGGTTGTAACATTTTTGACGTTTCTCTCTGTATCTTTGAGTGTGCGTTCAAACTGTGATACAGTAGCTGAAACCTCTGTAGCACATATAGAAAATGCATGCTTTGGTCAAAACATAAGGAGTGAAATGTTAAAATTCAACCCATAGTCCCAGAGAGTTGTAACTAAAGACACTGAAAACTTTTCATTCAACACTCAAATAACTTAATGTGTTGCTTGGGGTAGGTTATTATTTTTCCATGTTGCTACATTTAACCCAGACTCTTGTAGTTGTAAACCAGCTTACCTTACAGGTAACAACTAAAACAATTGTACTAACAACTTCCAGATATCGACATATGCACATAATAAACATGATTTAAGCTTGAGTAATTTGACTACAAAGCAAAACACAATAAAACAAAAATATTATGACAGGGAATATTTTACTGAATAATCAGTACTTTCACTTTTGATAATACTGATATACTTTTACTTACATAAAATTTAAATGCATGACTTTTACTTGTAGTGGAGTATTTTTGTAGTGTGAGTACTTTCTCTGAAGTACATGATCTGAATACTTCCTCCATTGTTTGTGGGTACTCTTGAAGAGAATCAGACTCATGTCACTGTCAGTATTTCCTCACAATCTTAGTCACCTCTGCAGCGGCGCTCTTAGTTTTTGCCAACTTCCTGAAAGTCAAATAATAGGTGTCCCTTTATGTACATTGGTGGTATCTGTGGACACAGTAAGTCATTTTGGTTTTTGATGCTTATCAAAGGATAATTTTGGCTCTTTGGCCCCAATGTTGTTCAGCTGTTTCACATTTTGTCAAATGCAATGATGAAAGCTACAGCAGAAGATAGGAAAACCTGAAGGCGGCTGTTGCAGTGTTGTAACGGATGTAACACTGACTGTGTTGTTTCCTGTAGGTCTGTCTTTCTTTCAGCATTGATATTAATGTAGGTTGTTAATTAATTGCAGTGCCAAAGAGTTATGATGCTGACACTGCAGAGCGTTACACATGAAGGCACGGCAGATAACGGCAGTGAAGTGAAGCATCACTTCAAGTAGCGACGTTTAGAATTTAAGTGTATTCACAGTAGCAGGGTGGTGACGTCATTACTTTCTTAGTCAAATAGCTTTTTAATAGGGAAATTAATTCATTGACCATACAAGTTACAAGCTCCTTTTCCTAGGAAAAACTCTGAGGGGCANGTTTGAAAACGAGGTGCGGCTCCAACTAGAAAACAATGTTTTGATGCATTGGATGTGCTGAATGTGCATATTAAGGCAGTACAGGAGGAGGTGCACATTAATAATCCTCCAGGACTGTAACATGCTCATGTTTAACCCAAACAATGCGTGACTGCAGCTGGTTCAGATCCAGATCGGAATACGTTATCACCAAAAACAAACCGCACCAGAGTTGATTCGTAACCTGATCGAGACCACCTCTTCAAGAAGGTCTCCGTCTGGTTGTTTTGGTGCAGAGCTGAGTGTGATTGCCGTGTTCACACCTGCCCAAATGAACCGCACTTAAGGGGCAAACTAACTTGAGCTGGATTGAACCAAACCAAACAGGGCAGGTGTAAAAGCAGCCTAAACCTACAGAGGGAGTGGGTCCTTCTCCATTGAATCCGCCCTGTTCCACCACCATGTTTTTACAGTGATCTGTGATGTGAAACTGCTTTAATTAGTGTTACTACTAGTTTTGGAGAGGAAGTGACTGCTGCAAAAAATGTGGCTCACGATAAAAACCTCTTGAACCATGAACACTGAAGGAATTCTAGTCAGGTGAAGTTTCAGCTGGTTGCAATCTGCAATCCTTACCACTAGATGGCACTAAATCCCCTAAATCTTACTAACTGTTCCTTTAAAAGCTTAAACCATGGCTTGGAGTCAGGGGATGATTTGATTCCACATTACCAGCTGTTTCTTGCTGTTACATGACATAAACACTGTTGTTGTTTTGCTTGGTTACACTGGTGATAGGTTATCTTTTTTGGCTTTGCAAAATGGACATGCAGAATATGTGCAGTTTTCAAAAGGATACGGACACTGACAGCCTCGGCGTCGGTGCTCAGCAGTCTCTTCACTTCTTTTTCCACATCAGGGGATTCAATGTACTGCGAGAGAGAGAGAAAGAGATTGGGTTACATGCAGCGGTAGCAGCATCTCTCTCGTTCTCTACCTCTGTCTCTCTCTCTTCCTCAAACACACACACACACACACACACACACACACAAAGACAGCAGCTGGCCGTATGCCAGGAAGCACATTAGCGATTAAAAACAGAAGAGGCCAAATCAATATGGCTCGGCTGTACACCTTCAGGAAGATTTATTCAGAAGACAAAGTAGAAGTGTAGTGCTCAACCACACTCGCTTTCACTTTGATCAAAGCAATAGTGAAATTGCTTTTTCGCATGCCTTTCGGGCAAACTTAGATGGAAAGGCTTTATTTATATGTAAATCTTAGTTTTCACTTTCACCACAGTCCCTGTTTTATGAAATGTAAATGTCTTGTTGGAAGAGTGCCTAGGAAAGAGATGGATCATCCGGCAGGATGCTAAAGAGATGGATGGGAAAGGGGAGGGAAGCGCTGAAGGGGAAATGAAAATGTCAAAACCTTCTTTTTCGCCGTTTTCCGAAATCTCCTCTTGCGTGTGTTCTTCAGAGGGCAGGTGACTGAAGACCAAAACAACAGGATTAGTTAAGTCAAGATTACTCAATCAGCCGTGGAGGGGCAAATTATGCCTCCTGAATTGCTGATGTGCCAAGTTTTCAGCGCTGACAGCTCAAAAAGCTGTTGTGTCTACTCACTGCCATGGTTCCAGACAAATTTCTTGTCCTTGTCTTTGTCCTTCTTCTTGCTCTTAGGGTCTGTTCCAGTTGGTTCCTCTAAAGGAGGGTAAAGGTCTCCATCTAGTGTACATACCAGCATCTAACCCATGGATGCAAAAAACGAATGGTAAATTACTCTTTGCTCTGCTGATTAATGCTCTTGTATTACGGTATTATAACAAAAAAGAAAATCTGCGTTGAAACCTCAGTTTTAAACGTTAATTTCGTTTATAAAAAAGTGCTTTTTATTCTCACTTGGTGTCTTAAACTTAACAACAAAAATGTTTTAAATGTTGAAAACAACACTTGTATCCAATGAATTTCACATCCTTATCTTCTAATACCACTACGCTGCTCTACCAGGCTTTTTATTCCCAATCATCATCCTAAACTTGAACAAGAAATGTATCCAATAAAGATGACGTCCTTAATTTAATGACACTGCAGTGGTTTACCTGGCAGACATCAGCAGTCTTGTAAAATGTCTTCTTGTCCACCGTTTTTAGGGACTCGATCATACAGGGCAGATCCACCAGTTTGCAGGCCAAAGGGACGCGGTCTACTCTCACTATGCCATGACGACCATCAGCTACAAAGAAGAGGGACGACATAACTGATTATAATGAGATGTTGTGTGTAAGACAAGGGTAACCACTGACATAAAAAAAAAAACAAAACAAAAAAAAAACAACAATGTATAAATGCAGGTGCAAAATAGGGCTGCGCGATAATGAGGAAAATGTGATGTGAGAACTTTGTTGAATATTGCGATAATGATATTTGTTGGGATTAATGAACAGTCATTAATGTGCACTCAGTTTTGCTTATCTGCACAGTATACTGCTAAAATACAACAAATTGCTTGTTGAATTAAAAAAAGGAAAGGATCATGAACTGCACACAAAAGGCACCAATAAAAAAAAGAATGATAGTTTCATTTTAAAGTAAAGTTTTCTTTCAGCTTTACTCTCTTTCAACTAACTCAAAAAGTCAGTGTGCAATATTGTCTATCTTTCGTGGTGTGTTTATCATTCAAGTTAACATTGTAATGGCAATTTAAAAAAAAAAATTATTATGCAGCCCTAGTATTCAGACAAGTATAGCTTCCGACTATTTAGTGGTAAAGACTGTGACATTTGAACTTAGTTGTCAGACTGAAAATGGTAGTGAGTAGTGCACCAAAACTTAAAAATAAATTCCAGCTGACCCAATATTTACAGCTGCAGAATGTGAGACTGATTCCACTGTGAATTAAGTCAGCAGTGCTCATACGAAAAATATATCAGTGACTCCCTAATAACAAACTAAAAAGACTGAAAATCTTTCCTCGTAGAAATATTTACATTTCACAAGTTCCAGACTACATTTCACATTGATAACCTGACAACTTTGATATGACAGTGATTTGTAAGACAAATTAAATTGGTATTTGAACTATGACGTCACACATGTCAAACATAAAAGCCAGTACTAAGAATACTAAACCAGCTTACGGTGCAACTCTATGGTGAGTCTGTCTTTCATGTTCATACTGCTTGACTGGGCAATCCTTCTTACTGTCGAGGCATACTCCTTTTAAAGAAAAAAAGATGAATCCATGTTATTTTACAGTCACATTGAATTTTATATACATAATGTGTTTCAGTTGTGCAACAGTCTCACCGTAGGAAGCCTCAGGATAAACTGACTCTCCAGCTCATAAGGAGCATCCTCCTTGTTCTTTGAGCCGACCTTCCCAGCTAGAATCAAAACACAACAGCATGAACAACGGGATAAAACACCTCCTTTGTTGCTTGATATGTATTTATGAATGCAATATAAACAATGCACTACAAACACACACTGATGTTTGACGTGTGCAGCTATACAGTTAAATCTATCTGGTTTCAGTATTAAAGGGGGCACTGTTTTTTTTGCTTATTTTGAACTAACATACGTAATACAGTATATTACTGTTTAAATAGTCTGGTCTACTGATCAATTTCATCTCATATATCTGAGCTTTTAAGGTCCTTCACCCAAACTAGGCCTCTTAAATCATCCCTTACCACTGCTAGACACCTTAAATAAAACCCTAAATAAAAGCCTTTAGGAGAAAATTCACCTTAAGTCCGCTACTAACTTTTAATGTTCATCATATTTTTATTCTTAAATTATTTCTTCTACAAAAAAGGCTATTACTTGTTTTACTTCTTAGCTACGAAGTTGTTCTGTTCAGCTTTCATTGGGTATATTTTTAGGTAATGCATTAGGTATACATACAGTACAACTTCTTGGTATACATTCAGACCACTGTACTGTTGGAGAATGTAATATATCTTTTTTGGTTTATCATATTTTAGTGTTGATAAACAATAAAGTAGTCAAATCAAAACCTTTTCTCAGCCATTATCCCTTTATGTAAAACAGCCAGCACTATCATGACATTGCTCAAAAATATTAATTTAATTATTAGTTCAATAAAAGACTGTAGTTTGACACATCTTGGTATGAATGGCCTCTGTGTTTAGCCGATGGGAGTGTAAATAAGTGTAACGTAAACTACGCCTAACTGAGTAACTTTACCCAAAATTACACCTCTTATGTGCATTAAAATCGAGTTTATGACACAGCAAACGCAAATACAGCTAACTAATTATGGATCTTACGGTATAGCGTTATTAGTCACAGTTCGTGTACCGTTAGGCTAATGTAGCATGGTTGTAACAACCTGTGTATGATGCTACAGACAACACTCATAAAACCGCTACAAACTTTGAAATGTACATACTATCGTTGACATTTTGCAGCAACCAAATTCCCGCAATTCTGACCTGTTTTTCTCGTTATAATTAATTCATTTCACCGAAGTTACATGAACAGCGGCAGCATGTTTACAAAAGATAAGGCTAGCTATCGTTAGCTTTGTTAGGCTAAATTAATAGCACCAGCTTTTAACGTACCTTTCAGTTTAGATGTCATCTTCGTCTTTGTAATATGGACGGTACAGCTGCATAAATGTGCCTAAATGATAAAAAAAAAAAATAACACCCAGACACGTGGATTTTGATTCGAAAAGCAGCGCAGCTTAGCATAACCGAGCTGATGCAGACATGACCGAGACGAAAATACAATGGTGATAGGCTCTTGCTGCATTCAATGACTCCTCGGAAATTTCTAATGTTTCTATGTCTTACAGCAATATACATGTTTTCAGCACACTTTCCAGCACCCTAGATGAAATGACAGCTTATCTCTCTTTCTCAGATATCCTTCGTGCCTTCCAGTATAACATCAACCCCGCTAAACAAATTCTTAGGATATAGTGGTCGTGTCACTTGCTTTTCTCGTTGATTTTAGCTTGTTTGTGATATTGTTGCGGGACATTATGCTGTATGACACTGTGGAGCTGTCTGAATTTCTTGTACATAACTAACTACAAGCTTTGCCACATGTAAGTACAGTCGTTTAAACAATACACTGACTTTATGAAATTTAACACGGGAAAACAATAATTTTCGATAGTTTGGAACGTTACATTAATTCCCGTCTTCTGTTCTGTATCGCGAGACTTGATACACAGACACGTTTCGGGAAAAATAATTAAATAAATAAATGAATAGATAAATAAATAAATAGATGTTACTCAAATGCCACCCATTTAGCGAAATATTGAAATTTTAGTCAGCTGTTTTTACATAGTTATGCTATATGTATTGTTAGTGACGCAAACCCGTTATTACAGACACGCCCCGTGCCAAATAGAAATCGTTATCATTTTCTACACAATTAGTTTTTTAATCATTAAATTTTGTTCTTACACAAGAGCAAAGTTAGTCATTGTAACAGAAATAGACCAATTATCAGCTATTTGTCTCACTTCCTTTTCAGAATGATGACAGTTTGAGATTTCACAATAAGAGTCCTTAGTTAGAGCTAGCATCATTAGCTGAGGAAGTGGCCCGTGAAAAACATCCAGGTCTACATTTTTGATCAATCACACGTCATAACAATTACACACAACACGTTACGCTGAGAATTTTGTGTTAGGATTGATTTAAACTAGTGACATTCTGCTGTGGTGATTTTACACTGAAATGAAACTTCACTTTCTCGAAATATTAGTTTTCACTTCCGGGCCGGAGTTGACTCCTCTGTTGCTGTCGTCTTTTTCCTCTCTACTCCCCCCAGTTCGTGAATCATATTAGCACAAAGTTTGCTTTTGTACACGACGACGTTGCAGCATTTGACCGCCGAGCAGCCGACATGGTGTTTAAAGTGACTGTCAACAGTGCCTGGAGGGCAACGAGGACGCTGTGGCTGCTCATGCTAGTGAGCCTGTCTGTCAGCATCTGTGTGTGTCGAGCATCTCTAACTCCGGAGGAGGAGGACAGTGCCATGGAGAACATCGTTACGGAGAAAAAGGCTGAGGAGAGCCACAGGCAGGACAGCGCGGACCTGCTCATCTTCATCATGCTCCTCACCCTCACCATCCTGACCATCTGGTTGTTCAAACACAGGCGGTTCAGGTTCCTGCACGAAACTGGACTGGCGATGATTTATGGTGAGATGCTCCAGCGTGACTGAGAGACGTAATCACTGTCATTACTATCATTTTCTTCTCGTGATTACAGTTAAAGCGATTACATGTCAATATCCGGTTTCACTCTTCTAACACTAGCAATAAGTTAGTAATGTTTTAGTACATTTAGACAGCAGGCTGCTGCAGGTAGATACAGTCAGATAACAAGCTTAGTCACGGAGGTAAAAACACCTTAAAAACTGCACCAAAGCAGCCAAGTGTTTTCCCCCTGCAGCATGAAACAGACAAGCCAAAATTTCACTTCTCTACTCTGTGGTTTGGTGACGCCACGGATGGATGTGCTTGAAATAGCCGACATGACGAGCAACCTGCACAGCATGTGACTGACTGTTCCCTCCTTCACTCAGACACCAACATAAACCTTTCCCTACACCTGATAGGACAAACACCTCTCACTGGGCTGTCATCAATCTCTGGTGGCATTTCCTGGAGTGATCTCAAATTTGTCCTGAGCTAACCTCTGTGAGTTTATGAATGGGTGAGCACTTGCTCATGCAGTAAGGTGAGGCAAGGGAAGTTTGTTTATGCAGAACATTTCAGCCACAGGGCAATTTAAAGTGCTTTACATACAAAGCATGTTTAAATAAACAGTCATTATAGAGCCAGGAGAACAGAGAACATAAAAAGCTAAAATAGAGTGAGACAGGTGTAAAATACAAGAATTAAAGTTACAGCGCAGTGTTATAAATTAGTAATTATTTGATTTAATAAAAGGCAGTAGCAAACAGAAAACCCTAATCTTTGATTTTAAAGAACTGAGAGTTGCAGCGGGCCAGCAGTTTCCTGGGAGTTTTTTTCCAGACATGAGGTGCTTAAAAACTGAACGCTACTTCTCCATGTTTAGTTTTGACTCCGACCATTAAATTAGCACCAGCCACCAGCCAAATGCTGGTAAAATATGCATGTGGCTGCTAGATTTGCTTCACTCACCAGCCCATAAAAAACAATGGTAATCTATTGAGTGACTGGTAGATTTTGGATTCCACCAGCCACAGTGGTAGGTGGACAGAAAAAGTCATTTCCAACCCTGGAGATGACCTGAGAGGTCTGGATGGTTCATAATGTAGCAGAAGATAAGAAATATGTTTTGAGCCTAAACCTAAATCAGCTGTAGTATTTTGAAATTTATTCTTTGACAAACAGGAAGCCAGTGTAAGACCTCAGGGATGAGGTCCACCTTCTTGGTGTTATTAAAGTTAAGACTTGATCAGCAGTTCTGAATCAGCTGCAGCTGTCTGATCCATTTTTTAGGGAGACCTGGAAAGACACTGTTACAGTCAAGTCTACTGGAGATAAATTTATGGACAAGTTTCTCCAAATCCTGCTGAGACATAAATCCTTTTATCATTGATATTAGTGATAGTAGGCTGACTTTACAATTGTCTAAATATGTCTGTTAAAATTCTGGTCTGGATCCATGACTACATAAAGATTTCTGCCTTGGTCTGTAGTTTTTAACTGTAGTAGATTCATGTTACATTTTGTATCTACAGCGACAGACTAAAGTCCACCCACAAAGGTGTTTTTGCTTGTGTAGCCCGATGGGACTTTTCCACAGCAGACATCTGGACATATTATAGTCAGAAAAGTTAGTTGATAACAGTCAGGGCTAGGTGATATGTGGAAAATCAAATATCAGAATACATTGTGAGGCTGACTATTGGTGCTTTCACAAAATATTAACACAATGAGATTTTTGATAAATAATCACCTGTAATGTGGATATAATGACTAAGAAGGAAACGGCAAATAATAGAACAGCTAGAACAGTCTGGCAAGTTCTCAATTTGCATCACTTTATTGTGTTGCTCCCTTTAAAACCAGGAAAACACAGCACTCAAGACATTACAATATTCAAATCTAAGACGATATTGCTATAACATGCCAAGCCCTACTTCAGATAATGATCATGCAGTTGAATGTGTCAGTTTCAGGGTCCAGGTGTCGCCATGCTGGTTCACTAGCCTGGCCTTATCAAAGTATTTAAATGGCACAGAGCCATCATTAACAGTGTTTGCTTTTCCTGCTTGATCAGTCAAAATGTCTGATATGAAAAAGTCAGACTGTTCCTAAAAAGAGTTGGCACGTACAAACTGAGCTTGATTTACATTTCCCTTCGCTCTCCGGTTAGTTTTGTTTCACCTGCTGGGGCATCAGCTTAAACACACAATTATTTCGATAAGCCTGAAGTGTTTGGTGACATCATGAAATTCCCAGCATAGTTTGACTCAACTTCCTCCTGACTACAGGTCTCTTTATAGAGTCGTCAAACACAAGCACAACACGTCTAAGCACAAGATATTCCTGATTTGTCTGGCTCATATCTGATCAATTTTCAGACTTTAATTTCATAGAAAAAGCTGAGCTCATGTGATTAATCTGGCTTTGTGAGGCTAAGAATTTGACTTTTTCTCCATGTCCTTTCCTGCTGAAACATTTGATGGAACAGAATCATGACCACTCCACATTCACTCCTCCACTGACACTTGATTATATTGATTTTTGCCTCCTTGTTGCAGCTATAGACAGCTCATATTAATCAACTCTCCTCTCTCTATCCTATTTATCTTGCCTCTTTTCTCCCCCCAGGTGTACTCGTTGGCGTGGTCTTGCGATATGGTATCCATGTTCCTCGGGACATTAGCAACGTCACGATGAGCTGCCATGTTAATGCCAGTCCCGCCACGCTGCTGGTCAATGTCAGTGGCAAATTCTACGAGTACACTCTGAAAGGAGAGATCAGTGCCAACGAGGTGAACGACGTGCAGGATAATGAGATGCTGCGAAAGGTACAGACTGACAATCATGTTTGATTGTTTGAAATTCAGTGACTGCCACTAATTACATTTCATGACTGTATTATGAAGTTTCTATACATCTGTATACAGGATTTTATGTTTGTTTTTTTCCAACTGGTCATGTTGTAACTGTATAATATAGAGCCGAATCAATCAGTTGATTCATTGATTCATCAGTGAACTGAAATGTTAGTGGCAACTTTTTCATTTTTGGCCTGCTGGTTGGACAAAACATGTAATTTAAAGATGTTGCCTTGGGTCACATTAATCCTAAACTCCTTATTGTATCATGTGCACAACAATTACAATAAATAAAGCAGTTGTTGGGGATTAAAAACTCAGCTAGGCCTCAGCCAGATACCTTCTAACAATGCTTAATAAATATCTGTATAAAAAAAAGAAAATCATGCAAGTAAAAGCAAAATCTGAATTATATACTGCAAGTTGAAGTACAGGGCTTGAATTTAAACAAATAAAATATGAACTACACGATAAATTTGTAATGACAGTGTTGCAAATGAATAAACCAACTATAAACAGAATGTCAACAGGAATAAAGTAAAAGTATCTGCATAATGAGAAGTGATAAATATGTATACAGAGGTGCACACAGTTGTAGACAGTTAGTAGAAGTATATAAAGGTAAAGTGACAATTTTGTCTTAATGCACCATAAATTCTCCACATTAAATATATCTTCATTTTATAGAAGTCTGGTAAAGAATTTTTTCAAAAAGGGTTTTAAGTGTTGTAAAAGTTTTATTACTTCTGGTAAAATCAGCAGGAGGCTGCTTTCTGAGAGACGTACATATAAAACTGTCACAGAAAAAAAAAATGAAGAAAGACAGTGGACAGATGCTCTTTGCCCGAGGGTCACTTGGACTTTTTGCTTCCATAATTACGCTGTCGTTATGCTGGTTTGCATTTCTGATGACGAGGAGTGAAAGTAGTCTTATGGGTACTGCTACACCGACCTTCATCGCTTCATGTTGTTCTCCTTCCACCCCCAGCTTTATGCACCTCCGAACACACACACATTCAGTTTTTTTATTGCCTGTATGATGTAGAACGAAATGAGAAACACTTGATAGCAAACTATTTATTTAAATGGTGTAATTGCCACTTAATAATTTGTGAATGTTGACAAAGCATTAGAATCATAACAGTTTGTTTTAATCCTTTGATACCTGAGCAAATTGACTTGATTTATTTTAAAAACATGAGAAGGCAATGAACAATGAAAGAAAAAATGACCCAAAAAATTAGCAAGAAATTAGTAAATAAGAAAATTAAAAACAAGAAAATTACTAAAAAATGATAAAAAAAAAAAAAGTTAAAAACAAACAAACAAGGAAATGAACTGAAAGAGTGCTTAAAAATTCAAATAATTATGTCACATAATTTTAAAATATAATAATAATAATAATGATACATATAAACATATTTTTCCCTAGCTTTTTTCGTTTTCCCCTGTTTTTTAAGATTATTTTCAAAATGTATACATTTTTTTGTTTGCAATTTGTGGGACATTTCTTACCAAGTTGCCCATATTTTTGAAAGACATCGCACTAAGAATTTGCTCAAAGGTTCAAAGGTTTAAATACTTTCGAAAGGTGTCCTCAAGGCAGCACAAGAAAAGTGATGTCGCTCCAGGTTTCAAACTGCTAACTTAGAAGAAAATTGCATCGGGTTACAAAACCTTCTCTCACTCTCACTCAAACTATAAAAACAAAAATTGCTCTAGATTACTGGACAGAACTTCTTTTTTTTCACAAATAAATACAATTGCAGTATATCCCACTTTATCCAACATGTTTTACTTCCCAAAAGCAAGCAGGTGCAACAGGTCTAATATGCAAAAAAAATCTTTACATATTAGTGAAGAAGAATCAGAGAAAATTTTAGATAGATAATAGTCGACTCTCTAATATTTACAAGCATGTAAAGTTGTGTGTGCAGTTTATATAACTCCCTCTCCTGTGGTTGAGCAGCCTCCTCCTGCCTGCTTGACACAGTGTACGTAAGAGGAAATAGAGAGGAAAGGAGAGACCCTGCACTGCCGGCAGATGAGCTGTCACTGTGATCAGTCTGAGCAGCATGCTCTGAATGAAATACAACTTTTTCCCTGATGGTCTGAATAAGACACTTCATTTGTCGCTAGTGACTTTTTAGAAATAAATTCCCTGAGAGGGGCTTAAAGTTGTTAATGATGGGGCATTTTAAAGTGTCTGTGATGACCTGGGCTTGACAGGTTGTTGTCTGTGTGTTTTGAAAGACCGCTGCTGTCCCCTCTTCCTGGTACCGTGTACTGACACCGAATCTGTTAGCGGTACAGAAAGCCGGACCTTACCGGCCTATTTTCATCCCTGCTGGTGATTAGGACTTTAAGTTTGTCTGCTAAATAGCACTGGTATTACCTCCTATATTCCTTATAAAATCAAGCCCAAAACAAAACATTATGTAAACAAGGTGTCGCAGAGGCTGCTGCAGTGTTGTTTGTCATTGATGGAGGTTTGTTCAGCATCAGATGTCTTCTGTTAAATTGTCACACGACATAATCACACACAGATATCTTATAATGTTGCACTGATCTAGATTTATAACTGAATAACTGGCATTAGCTGTGATTTGATTTAATTAGTATCCCCATTAGCTGATGCATAACACCAGCCACTCTTCCTGGGGTCCACAAGACATAACAACAGATTTGATACTCATAGACAAAACAACCAAATGGTATTAAAATCAGAAACGTAATTAAAGTAAGCATTAGCTGTGATGTTTGGTCCGCCTGTGCGTAGAAGCTGTCCTCTTTTCCCATCACGCCCTTTCACTATTATAACAACTTTTTGTCAATTGTCCTTGAAGCTACTTCTCGCTGTCCCAGATGTGTCATTTATGATTCATTAACTTTTTTAAGTTCTCTAAAAATGCAACAGCCTAGAAGCGTCAATGAAAACAATTTTGTCTCTTTTTTATCTGGTGATTCAGACCTGTCATATGACACTGTTTTTGTGTTTGTGTGTGTGTGACTCAGGTGACCTTTGACCCTGAAGTGTTCTTCAACATTCTCCTACCACCTATCATCTTCCACGCTGGCTACAGTTTGAAAAGGGTACAGTAATATTTCAGGCACTCTCTGTACTTATGCATAAAAATATCTGACTCCTGATAAAATAATAGCTGAATTTCAATATATAATGTTAAGATCAACATATGTAGATGAACATTGATGTATTAATTTGTCTTTCAGAGACACTTTTTCCGCAACATGGGCTCCATCCTGGCGTATGCCTTCCTGGGGACAGTTATTTCCTGTTTTGTTATCGGGTAAGAATTTTAATTTGCAGAGAGAACCATCCACTGTTATAGTTTCACAGGTGCAACTCTGTGTTGTCGCCACAATGGTAGCACAAAAGACATTGCATGCCAGGGCAGCATTTATATGTGTCAATTACTGTGGTGCTGAAGTGCCACTAAAATCAGAGTTGTTTGTGATGTTGTGCGAAACCACCTGTTGTTCCTCCGTCAGGTTGCTGATGTACGGCTGTGTAATGCTAATGAAGCAGGTGGGACAGCTGGGTGGAGACTTTTTCTTCACCGATTGTCTGTTCTTTGGGGCCATTGTCTCCGCCACAGATCCCGGTACGTATGCTTATTCTCTGTCTTCACATTTTCTCTTACTTACAAGCTACACTCATTAAAAGCTGGATTCACTTTTATCTCCTGAATTGCTCAAAGCTTGTAGTTCACATTCTCACAAACAGGACACAGCCGCTAACAGCTCATCATAAAACCAAAGATTTATCAATACTACTGAGAGTTACTGTGTTGTAAAGTCAAACTTTAATCATACTGGAAAAAGTGATTTAAAAAAAAAGTATCTTTGTGAATAACCATCCTGTCTGTTTCAAACGCTTAATTATTTGGTGTAGCTTCAGGGTGCAGTACAGACACAAATCCACAAAAGGGCTTTAGTTTTTTATATGCCCCTACATGAGGCAGAACAAAACACAGCCATGTTTTTTAATCATTTTGATGTGTCATCATGAAATGGATGGTCGAAACAACGATATTTTATACAGCAAAAAATGATGTTGAAATAGATCAATGTAATGATTCACCACACAGGAGAAAAAGTACAACATAAAACCACTCTGGGGATGGTGGGAGTGGGAGTATCTACTTAACCTCATGTAATTTTTCATGTTTTGCTCGGATTTAGTTCAAATTTGTACTAACAGTATTATATGATAGTGTTACTGATATCTGCCCTACACCTCAAATGGTAAATGTAAATAGACTGCACTTGTATAGCACTTTTCTAGTGTTCCAACCACTCAAAGCACTTTTACACTACATGTCACATTCACCCATTCACACACATTCACACACTGGTGGCCCAGGCTACCATACAAGGTCCCCTGCAACTCAGTAGCCATTCACTCACGCTCACACTGATGGAACAGCCATCAGGAGTAATTTGGGGTTCAGTATCTTGCCCAAGGATACTTTGACATAGACTGGAGGAGCCGGGGATCGAACCACTGATCTTCTGATTAGTAGACAACCTGCTCTACCTCTGCTACCTCCGAACCACAGCCGCCCCTACACCTCAAAGCAATATAAGCATTTTTTTTTATTTATTTCAAAACTAGAGTCTTTTAATAGTTGTCATAGGTAGAAATTTTCACACAGACACCTTTTTAAAAGACAGTTACTTTTATTTACGGTAATATAGGATGGTATGTTGGAACAGCTCAGGCCATCACATCAATTAAGAAACTTAACACATAAACAATAAAAGTGGAGCAATAACATAAATGTGTAAAGTGAGGAGTAAAATTTTACAAAACTTTTTCAAAAATTTTAAGCCTATTAAACCCTGGAGCTCAAGATTTCAGAGTGTATCTCCTCTGACAGTGTTTAAAAAAGACTCGTCAAGCTCCACTATAATAGATACTGCTACCACTTTTAAAGAATGTATACAGATTTTTAAAATTATTTTTATGTTATTCTTATTTCCATACTCTCCATTCCGTCTCTCTCTAATTTAATAAACTACAAACACCATTCCAACTTCTATACCTTCATAGTTATACACACACACACACACACACACACACACACACAGATCTGCTTCAAGTAAATCTGGTCACCACACTATAATTGAAAATTAAAACCCTCTAGAACTTTACAGTTTTTTTTCTCCTTGCATCAGCTGTTCTTGATGACCTTGTGCATGCTCTATCTCCAGTTATAACGTATAAAGTTTTTAGACTGTAAAATTATGTTCTTCTGTAGTTTTGATAGACACTGTTTTTCTCACATAATGAAGTCAGTCTGAGATGACTGTTTGATCCACAGCTGGTAAAAAGTGAAAAACCAGGGTGAAGCTGGAAAAATGCAATATATACATGGAAAAACATTTTGTGCTTCTAATTTCTTGTGATTTTAAACTCTAAAATTGCAGTGTCTTCTAATTTGTCAGTGTAAAGCCTGTATTAATTCTTATTTTTACAAATTAGTGAAGTAAAAGTGTTGTAAAATGTAAAGATAAACTACATGTTAATCATGTACATATGGTTTTAAAGTATTATTATAAGGTATAAAATTGAAACAAAGCTCCTGACACCTGCTTCGATGTTGCTCAGTGATGTTTATCATCATTTGGTTCAGTTCTAACATGGACGGGTATCAGAGGTATTAAGTGTGTTCCTCTCTGTTCACAGTGACGGTCCTGGCTATCTTCAACGAGCTCCAGGTCGATGTGGATCTGTACGCTTTGCTGTTTGGAGAGAGTGTGCTCAACGACGCAGTGGCCGTGGTTCTGTCCTCGTAAGTCACTCAGACTGTAGTCTACATCCATCTTGTCTTGAATGTGCACAGAGCTGCTAAGTTTCTGGCTTTCTGAGAGAAATGGCAGAAGTGCAAGTCATGCTTTTGTATCGATCTGTCAGTGACCTTTTACTTAACCTAATATCAGCTTCTCATTAACGCCATGCTAACCACGGGGTGGTCCCTAAGCTAACACTCAGTTTCTTCTCCTCCTCTACATGGGACTGTTATTATTTCCACAGAATTGTAAATTATAATAGCAGGCACAGTGGAGGGGCCGGTCCCTGCGGAGACACTCCGACAGGCCCATTGAACGGGTGCACTAAGTAGAGCATGTCATTGTGTGCCTTTGCGGTGCCGTGGGACAAACATGACAAATCACCGGCCATTTGTTTTGTCCAGCTGTGGCTTATTCAACCAGAGATGCAGAACGTTTCATTATTTATTCATTTATTTTAGCTCTTTTTGTTTCCTTTTTTTGTTGTTGAAGTTGTGAGTCAGCAACGAACAAATTCCTATTATTTCCTGGAGACATTGTATACAAAAGCCAAGGGGAAGGCAGGACGCCAGGACTGCTTATAGACAAAATGCCCGGTGATTTGTTTTCAGAGTGTGGTGGCTGTGAATGGAGGGGGTGAATATTTCACTTTCAGTACATTTATATCGCCAAACTGCCTCAGCAAAATATTTGAAAAATTGCTTTTTCTGACCGACAACTATCCTGCAGAATTTTATATAATGCTTCTGTGATAAAATCCCTCTCATTCCAGACTCCAGTTAAAAACTCAATTACTTTCAAAAGCTATATGACCCACGTTTGATGAGAGGAAGTATGGTCTGTTCTATTAAGTACGACTTTATTGGGATAGTTCAGTGTTGATACTCAATTACAAGGTGACACAGAGTTAATGTATAAAGTGACTGCCATGGTAACTGTGACAGATATTTGTTGTTGTTGTTACCTTTGGCACTATGAAAACATTCTCATCACATTTAAACCTTTTGTCCACACCATTATCACAGCAGACTTGTCTCCTTATTCAGCCCTTTCTCCCAGAAATTATGTTTATGAGTATATTTATATTATATTAATTTGAAGCAAATAGGTATTTCAGGGAAAAATAATGCAGAGCAAATTCTGTTTTCTATGACCATGGCGAGGAAAAGTTTCTAATTAACATACCTGACAAGTCACAAAAATGCTGACACTGAACATATCAGCAAAATGTTCACGGACACTGCACTTTGTGTGTCCGCCGCCTCCCTGTAAATCCAGCATGGCACATAAATATAGTGTTTTATTACCTCTAAGAAACGTCTCTGAACATTATCCAGGCAGCGATTACATTGTTTGTCACCACAACAGTAATTATGAAAACAGTTAAGTAACGTACAAATGTAATGTCTGGGAGACAGAGCAGCTTTATTTGGTCTAAATTCTCTCAGAGGAAGGAAGTAGCTCTGTTATCTGTTTTTCTTTTTCCGGCAAATGTGGTTTTCTGCCTTTAAAAGATGTGTATTTAACAGCTCCACTGTTTGGTGAAAACAAGTTCCCTCTCTTCTCGTCATTGTTGGTTGTAATGATAAGGGCAATAACACCATAACAGCTTGTAGTTTTTATTACCTATTGTTCCACACCTTCACAGATTCATGGGCGCCCCTTGCGAGAAATCTTGACCTCAGTGGAAACTTACGTGCATATCTGTACTTATTTTCACACAGCAGTAGCAACTTTTAAACAAGCCACTTTGTTATTAGTTGAATATTAACACTGAACTATTCAAATAGAGTTTAAGATTCTTTTCTTCCACCTTCCTGACCTCTACATTACTCTACTTCTCTCATTTTTGCTGTGAAAGCCTGCTCTTTATCAACAGAAGCAAACCTCAAATGTTATCTCAAAGTGCTGTGCATGAGGAGACCTAATATGGTGGTGGAATGTGCAGTTATTGACAAAAATATTTGCAGATAAGAGGACTGTTAGTATCACACAAATTTCCTGTATGCAGGTTTTAAATTAGGCTAATAAGTTTATCTTTATAAGGCTTTAGTCTGCAGTTATTTATCTTGATGTTTGACATGATTTACGCTCTCTGTGCACTTGTGTTACATCAGGTCTATAGTAGCGTACCAGCCACAAGGGGACAACAGTCACACCTTTGAGGTCATGGCCATGCTTAAGTCTTTTGGGATTTTCCTCGGAGTTTTCAGCGGCTCCTTCGCTCTGGGAGTGGCCACAGGAGTCGTCACTGCTCTCATATCCTTTCTGTCATTTATTTATTTATGAGAAATAGATATTACTAGATATTATTATTAATAGATATGACATGTAATAAGATATGAAATCCATCCACTGGAGCATGTTTACAAAGTATAAGCACTGTTAAATGTTAAATTAAATCTGAACTAGTTATTGAGATGTTAGTAATATCTAGGTCTTTTATAAGTTAGGTTTTGTAAAGAATACCACAAAAGGGAAATTTAATTAACACAGAATGGTACGACCTTGTCTCTAAAAACAATGGTGAAAAAGTTAGATAGAAATGGGACTTGTGTATGATATATTCCCCTTGTTTGAGGAATCCACTTGGAACAAGTGACAGCATTTTGAAATAAGGACCGTTTTCAGAAGCTGCCCTTGAAACAAAATAACTTTGCTTTGGAAACAAGTGAAAATATCTCCACAAAATGTCAGATTTTTTCAGATTCACTTTTTTTCACGTTATAAATTCATTTGGTAGAGTCTGAGTGTTTTTGTTACACTCCTTGACTTCTCGTTCGTACGTGACTAAGTTCACTAAGCTGAGAGATTTTCAGCTGTTGGAGACTGCTCTGTTCTTCCTCATGTCGTGGAGCACATTCCTGCTGGCTGAGGCCTGTGGCTTCACAGGTAACACACACACACACACACACACACACACACACACACACACACACATACTTACACCACATACACACATTCAAACAGTACTCGATTTGGAGGTCAGTATTCATTCAATGTATAGATTAACTACCTTTTGTTGCTTTGTTGGGGAAAAACATATATATAATAGAAATAAACATAAAATGAAACTGCTCTATATTAAAGGTTTACATTTTTGGGATGGGACACAGTGATGTAAACATTGATCAGCCAAAACATTTAAACTACTGGCTGGTGAAGTGAATAACATTGATCATTTTGTCATAGTACAATGTTCTTTTGAGGAACCTTGGGTCCTGGCATTCATGTGTATGCCACTTGACACGCTCCACACACCCAAACACTATTACATACCAATACCCCCCTTCATGGCAACGCCACTCCCTGTCGGAAGTGCGCCCCCCAGGCAAGACAATGCACCATGCTACACCACAAAAAGAGCTCAGGAATGGCTCAGCAGATGTGACTAAGCTCAAGGCATCAACCTGGCCTCTAAATTTCCCCAGATCACAATTCGATTGAACATCCATTGGGCATGCTGGTACCTTACCTCACAACCCACAGGACTCAAAGGATCTGTCGACAACACTTTGGTGCCAGACAACACAGGACACCCCCAGAGGTCCTTTGTCCAGCCCTTGACAGGTCAGAGGCTCCACTGTAGATCGGACTTGGCACTGACCTGTTGAGGCCTGGACAAAGGACCTCTGGGGTTCCGGCTTGTCCCACAGATGCTTGATCAGATTGGGATCTGGGGAATTTGAAAGCTAAATCGATGCCTAAAGCTCTTTATCATGTTCCTTGGGCCATTCCTGAGCAGTTTCTGCAGTTGGGCACGGTGCATTGCCTTGCTGGTGGGCTACTGTCATCAGGGGTACTGTTGCAATGACTGGGGGTACTTGGTCTATAACATTTAGATGGTTGGAGTTCATAAAGGGGCATCCACATGAATGCCAGGACCAAAGGTTTCCCAGCAGAACATTGCATTGTAATTAAATGATCAATGTTATTCGCTTCACCCGTCAGTGGTTTTAATGTTTAGGCTGACTGGTGTATATGAATATCTGCACAGATCCATACAGTCAAAATGACTGATCTTCACAGACGCAGGTAACATTTGGTGTTTTCAGTCAGACAACACATGATTGAACTTTCAAATCATAGTTAATCTCTACAGTCTGTGTAGCGCAGAATGGTGAACTAACCATCCCTATTATACTGCTATTTAATCTGTTGCCAATGTATAAGAAAAACTCAGAGAGACTGTGCTGCAGCGACACGAACATTCAAAATCTCTTGAAACAAACACAAAATGATTTAACGTTATGTTAGTGTTATGTCAGTTTTAATTGATTTCCTAACTGTTTTGTTTCTGTATCTCCATCCCTCCTGGTGTGTCACAGGTGTGGTCGCGGTGCTCTTCTGTGGAATCACTCAGGCCCACTACACCTTCAACAACCTGTCCCCCGAGTCTCAGGACAGGACCAAACAGGTCAGACCTGGACTACAACCTCACCACTGCTCATCCTGTATTGTTGTCTAATGTTTGTGCCTTTACTGTAGAAAAAAGGGCAAAGATGGAGTTTATCAGTGACCAGTTAACACCAGTACAATAATACTGGGAGTGTTGGCAGAGCACAGGATGTTGGTGTATGTACTGTTTGATGTGGCTTAGCAACACATTCAACTACATTCACTGGTCAAACAATTGATGCAGTAAATCTGTAATTCACCTGCTGCGTTGATTTCCCTCCGTACCCCTCTTCACTTCTAACAATGTAACAGGACCAAACATCAACATTTAAATAAAAGAGACAACAATGTCATTTTAATGAAAAGAGAATCCAAAACTAAAAACATGTTTTCCTTTCCAGTATAATGAAACAAATAACATTGTTTCATTCATTCATACTGAAATTTTAATTTTGGAAGTTTGATTGCAGTCAAGGCCGGGCAAGCCAAGTGCATTTAGTTGTTAATTTTGTTTAACCGTGTTTCTTGGTGAGTGTAACTTCATTGCTGTTATCTGAGTCAATTGTTGGTGTGTTTTTGTGTTGCAGCTGTTTGAGCTGCTAAATTTCCTGGCAGAGAACTTTATCTTCTCCTACATGGGTCTGACCCTGTTTACCTTCCAGAGCCACGTCTTCAATCCCATGTTCATCGTCGGAGCTTTTGTATCTTTTGCATAAGGGGACTGGTGCACACAAAGCCTCATATGACCCTCTGCTTGATCACAACAGTGGTTATTTTTACTGTCATCGTAGAAGAAGAACGTATTACAACTAATATAAGCACCAAGAAGCAAACGGTAATTGATTTAAAGGGGCAGTAAATCAGTTCGGCACAGAGTGGGGGGACTTCACAGGCTCTCTGTTTTGTTGTCCTCTCCTTAACCTTGTTCCCACCCAGGTGGCAGTGTTCCTGGGAAGAGCTGCGAACATCTACCCTCTCTCATTTCTTCTTAATCTGGGCCGACGCAACAAGATCAGATCCAACTTCCAGCACATGATGATGTTTGCAGGTCAGATGGAAGAAGACATTTATCTTGTATTTTGTAACTACTGTAAAAATGCACCGTGTAGATGCACTGGAACATTTTCTAGTCTCTTGCAACCCTCTGTGAGCAGATTAAAAGTTAACTAACACAGGGTTGTAAACAGAGATCACCTGATTTGTCTCATATAGGATGTTGCATACTTGTTTGTGTGAAACATTCTTTGTGTCTGTGCTCTTAGGACTACGAGGTGCGATGACCTTCGCCCTGTCAATCAGGGACACGGCGACATACGCCCGTCAGATGATGTTTAGCACCACTCTGCTTGTGGTCTTCTTCACTGTTTGGATTTGTGGAGGAGGCACCACCCAGATGCTGTCCTGCCAGCGCATACGGTACCCCTCACCTACACCTGTCAAACCCATTCCTGCGTCAAACTTGATTTGAAGTCAGCATTTATTGAAATCTGGAGGGGTTTAGCACCATGAATGTTTTAATAGAACTGGATACAGCATTGAAAATGGGCCCCTATTCATTTGTATGAAAGGTGATCAGTGGCGCATGAAGCCAAAAAATTCAACTTCTCGGGTGTAAAACCACCTGGATCTTCCACATCATTTGATCCATAGAGAAAGAGCGCTAGAGCCTTCCACAGGCCGAGCTGGCTACTTCCGGTTTATAGCTCTACTAACTTGAACAGGGATAAAATAATTTAATCCTGCGGCTCTTCTAGACTTTGTATGTATCTCTAATTCACAGACGTCTCTTTCCCAATGAAGGTCTGTGGGGAAAAGTCTTTTTGAGCAGAATCGTGACGGACCTAGAAACTGTAGCTGCACGATTTGGCCACTGTGAAAAATTGGCTTCAGAATTGAGTGCACTTCCTGAAAGCCTGTTTGACACCTCAGGGTATTTAAGATAATGTCAGAGAAATTTACTCTCCTAATGCTTCTTTTTGTCCAGACTTTATTGCCCACATGTTCAACTGGTTTGTCAGATTAAAACTCTTGAGAATCATGTAATATAACCTTTGTCTCTGCTCTGGTGAATGCTTGAGGCTTTTGACAGTACCTCCACTGCTGCCACCCTGCTGCTCAGGATTGTGTTATAAGACTGGCCCGTGATAAAAGATGTCTCAAATCTTAACATGTTGAAAATGTGCGAGAACCCACACATAATGACATGTAATGATTAATTTAAGTTTTGTTTCTGTAGTATGTGGAGAGCAACAGAACAGCACACCACACATTAACAGATTCAGACCCAATCACTGGGTAGAAAATCCCCACATCATGTACCAATAATGAACTGGTGGTGAGCAAACATGCTGCCTCAATTGGTTAAATTTTAGCCACCTTAAAAAGGCCCACCCAAAAAAATCAATATCAGTTTATGTGTATTATATGTTTTGAGTATTTTAAAGGGATAGTGCACCCAAACATGAAAATTCAGCCATTATCTACTCACCCTCATGCCGATGGAGGCTCAGGTGAAGTTTTAGAGTCCTCACACTTCAAGGGGAGAGGGGGTAGCAACACAACTCCACCTAATGGAGGCTTACGGCACCCCAGATTCAAATGTCCAAAAATACATAATTGAAACCACAAAATATCTCCATACTGCTCGTCCGTAGTGATCCAAGTGTCCTGAAGCCCCGACAGAAAAAGTTGTTTAGAAAAACGTCATTTGAACTCTACGGATGAGCAGTATGGAGATATTTTGTGGTTTCAATTACGTGTTTTTGGACGTTTGAATCTGAGGCGCCATAAGCCTCCATTAGGTGGAGTTGTGTTGCTACCCCCTCTCCCCTTGGATCTCTGCAAGTGTTGTGAGGACTCTAAAACTTCGCCTCAGCCTCCATCAGCATATGGGTGAGTAGATAATGGCTGAATTTTCATTTTTGGTATGTTTTGCTGTCCCCTTCCACAGCAGTAATGTTGCATTGCTTAGCTTCCGTGTTGGTACATTTGGTTTATTGCTAGCAGAGCAACACAGTACATGAAATAAGTAAGACTGTCAGATAGGTCGGACCACCGGGATGAACTATATATCTTCAAATGTTACATTTATGGTAAATTCTGAGTTGAATCCTGTCTGATATTGCATACAAAACCTCCGAGACCTGTGGGACTGCCAGCGATCCTCGGGGTTCCCCTTTCTAAACAGGATATTGTATTGTAAAAGTAGATGTGTAGCAGATGGGGGGGGGATGTTAAAACACTCAACATACCGCACACCACAGGAAAATGTGGCAAGATAATCTTAAGAATAAAACAACTGCATCCTTGCTGACCATTGTAGGGAGGGGGGGCGTCGGGCTCCAAGCCGGCTTGATTCTCGTGTAGTGTTGTGTATTGGAGTCTTGAGGACTTTTGTCATGTCTGTCTCTTGTCTGTGTTGCTGGTAAAATATCTAAAAACCTCGTCTACTGCAAAACAAATCTCCCTTCAGGTAGAGATAAAGTAACCTGACCTGACCAGGAACTTGCTAAACGGGGGAAACACGCTTCACAACACTGCTCTGCTCTGGTAGTTTATGACTGCAGCTGATTTACATGTGTGTTTTCCTCCAACAGAGTGGGCGTGGACTCGGATCAAGATAACTCAGTAAGTGTTACTCCTGTGAACTAGTTACTGCGACTGTATGTGACTGTAAGAAAACACTGAAACCACATTTTCTGTGTTTGTACAGATGAGTGTTGCTGAAGGCTCGGAGAGAAGAAGCACCAAACAGGAAAGTGCCTGGCTTTTCAGGATTTGGTACAACTTTGACCACAAGTATCCTTTGATAACACGTGACTAGTTTTATCACTGCCATAAAGACCAGGAAACAACTACTTATTTTTAATTTGCCTGTTTTAAAAAATGGTGTTGTAACTACTATGAGAGGGAGACACATATATGACCAACTCTTCTACAGATACTTAAGGAAAAATAAATAAAAGTATGCAACAAAATATAACATTTAACAGTAGAGATCAGTCATAAAATACTGCAACAAGAGAACAAGAACTGAATTAATACAGTGCAAAAGTTACAGAACATTTGTAGGCTGGATAAAGGATGACGAGGATCACTAGATTGATCAAATGTGCCCCTTTATTGATAACCCCTGTAGTTCCCAGAGTCAGACAGCAGAGGGAGCACCATGTACAGGCTTGAAGATAAATTATCTCTTTTATTAGCTGTGTAGTATAAAGGTCATTATTGTATTTTAAATAAATAACTTAAGTTTTAATGACTTTGCCCTTTCACCCTATTTTAATACATGTAGTTAGCATTCATTAATCACACTTTACAAAAATCTCTGGTCCTGTTTGTCGTGTCTTACCACCCATAGTGCTTGTTTTCTGTGTAATATGTCCTTGACTCGAGCCCCCTCTCCAGCTACCTGAAGCCCATCCTGACTCACAGCGGCCCCCCACTCACAGCCACGCTGCCTCCCTGCTGCGGCCCCCTCGCCCGCTTCCTCACCAGCCCGCAGGCTTATGAGGTCAGACACTAGTGGATGATATAAGAAGCTATTTTTGGCTTTCTGTGTTTGTGAGGTTTTCATTCTGTGTCAGTGGATGAAAAAAAAAGTTATTGTGATGAATCATGAGGCAGAGAGGTTCAGTTTGAAACTCAAGGTTTTGATTCACTGGGCAGATGAAGAGACCATAATTTCAATCTGTTATCTGTAAAAAAAAAAAGTTAGTTTTATTCTGTGGTCATAGATTGTTAAAGGAATACTTCACCCCCAATTTATCATTTTATATCACTTTACTCACCCTGTGCTATGTTGAATTTGTAAAGAAAACTTTGTTTTTCTTGCATGCCTCCAGTAGAATCCAAAAACTGAGACGATTCTTGATGAATTTGAGTAAAAGGGATCCGTGCAAGACTATGTCAAAACATCTGTTTACAAACTCTCACACAACTCGTGCAGTATAATCCAAGTCTCATTTATCCAGTTGTATACTCAGTATTTCTCAAACCCATTTATTTGAACTAAAACCTCACTATTTAAAACTAAACTGACACTGACGCTTATCAGTATTTTCTCCATAACCAGACTCCATTGAAAAAAACAGCGATTTTACCTCACTGAACACAGGAGTTGCTGGTCTACCACTGCCTCGATCAGTTAGTTTGTTTGTGTTATTGAGTGACTAAGGTGAATCCAAACTAACCTGTTAAAACACCAGAGTCACACAATATCAGAAACTAACCCTTAATGGAGACAGTGGTAGACCAGCAGCTCCTGTGTTCAGTGAGGTAAAATGGCTGTATTTGTCAGTGGAGTCTGGCTTTAAAAAGAGCATAGGTAAGTTTCATTTTAGTTCGGTTCACTGTTGGAAAGGGCCGTCTGTTAAGGAAGGGCTGAGCACACAGTTGGATAAATGAGACTTGGATTATACTGTACAAGTTGTGCGAGAGATTTTAAACTGATGCGGACCCCTATAGATTTTATCAAGAATTGTCTCCATTTATGGATTCTTCGTTTGCCAGTAAATGATGAAGTATTCCTTTAAAGTCACATCTTGTGCTTTATTCTGCCCTGTGCGAGTATCTGACATCATTCCTCTTCCCTCTCACCAGAATGAGTGCCAGCTGAAGGATGACGACTCTGACCTCATCCTGACAGATGGCGATATCAACCTCACCTACGGCGACATCACAGTCAGCACAGACGCCTCAGGTTCCCACACGAGCGGCGGCCCAGCCTTTGCTGGAGGCGCCACCTCTGATGACTTGGACAGAGAGTTAACGTATGGAGATCACGAGCTGGTGATGAGGGGCACGCGCCTGGTGCTGCCCATGGATGACTCTGAGCCGCCCTTTACAGACCCCCCGCAGCGCTTGCGGATGTGAAGATAGTCTCTCAATGCAGACCCAGACATACCGTCCGACTCACACTGACCCGAGCCATCGATCAAAAGACCAGTACCTGACACTCCTTCCTTCACTCCTCCACTTCATTCCTCTTGCTTTTTTTCCAACACATCTCCTCACAGTTTTATTTTCTCACTTCCTCTAGTGGCAAATCACTGTCTCTACCTCATTCTCGCTCTGCTCGTTTCCACACCTCTCTGGCATCTGCCATAATTGTAATATAGCCTTATTTATTTGCAAGGTTTTTTTTCAGTATTCAATCAAAAGTCAGTTTCTCTTAGTTTGGCTTAAAGCTGTGTGTCAGTCACCTTACTGTAGCATTGCACAGAGGTCTAGCAGCATGTGTTAGTGTGTAAATGCAAGTCCAAACCACTAGCTAATTTGTCGATGTACAGTATATCACAAGAGTACTATAACTTTGATATGCATGCTGAGGATGCTTGTTGTTTTCTTCGTACGGGAGGTCGAGGGCTTTCGTTGTTTGGGTCTGACCTTGAATGTTGCTGCCTTCTCTCTGCTCATCAGAGGCATGCTGACCCAGTGGACAACTTTACTGTACATTTTGTTACAATCAAGTGCCTGGGAATTGTAGTTTTAAACCTGGCGACCCATGCTGGACCAGCTCTCAGACGCAGAGCCAGTTTCAGGATGGGCAGTCACGCAGTTGTAGTTTTCCTTTGTAAAAAAGAAAAAAACACAAAAAACTAAACAGACACCTCTGTCCATAAGGTAGCAATATACTCAGTGGGTGTTTGGGCTGTCAGTCTGTGTTATTCGCCTGTAAATAGTGTGTAACGATGTGATGCCACTGTTGCAGTGTAACCTGGCAGTGAAAGTTGCGGATCTCTCCCAATGACCTTTGACTGTGACATAGAGAGGGACTTTACACCTTATTTTAGAAGCTGATGTCGCTCACAGCAGAACGAAAGGGCTGTCGTTCCAAAAACAAGATCCAAACCAGTTTTGACGGAGGAAGATTAGTGCCATTTCTGTCCTGCATTTCGACATTTTGTGAAAACCAAATGCAGATGACCTTAAAGTGTTTTGTATTATTTTTGCAAGAGAGCTTAAGGACTTTAAGCTGAGTCACATTTGTCATACACATAGAGCTTTGTGCAAACATTTTCTATTACAAATCGTGCATTAACAACGAGACTTTGAACAAAATTTTCTCTTTGAATGAACCTGAAAAACGCATATAGACACATGAATTTGACACTAAAGGAACTTAGTACCATATTATTGGTAAGCACACATTTTGTGAGTATAATTTCGACAAATCAGATAATTGATTTTCTCTATATGGTTCCATCAGGGCTGCAACCAGTTATTTTATTATCAGCTATTATGCTGTCTATTTTTTGTGTAATTGATGAATTATATGATCTATAAAGTGTAAAATGCACAATTTTCCCAAGCTTAAATTGACATATTTAAGTGTCACAAAGATAGTCACTTGAGAGAGACTTGATTTGAGCTGGACGCCGTGAATGTGATAAAAACATTACTTAAACAATCAGTTATCAAAATATTTGTTTGTGGATTGACTAAAGGATCAATCGACTGATTGTTGTAGCCCTAGATTTTACACAGAGGTCATTAAAATCAGTGAACAAGACGGGAGCAGCTGCATGATGATTATTCTAATCAATCCATCCATGATATGAAGAGATATTTACGCTGGTACTGTGGCAGTTCATCATTATGAGAACTTCCTGAATAGAACAAAAGTTGTTGATATGCTGGACGTTTTTCTCGGCTGTACACAATAGTGTCCTTGAGGGTCGATAGTCTGACAGTTAAACATTATTTCTGTATATAACAGCATTAAGATTCATTAGGTCATTGAATGCTATTAAAAGAGCACCTGGCGATGAGTGTTACATTTCACTCGTGTCAGTGTGGGTTCACAAGAAGAACGGAAGAGCTTCAGCCCAAGCTGACAAGCTTTAAAGGGACAGTTCACCCCTAAATCGAAATACACAGGTCTTACAGGAAGTGTTGATAGGGAGTCACCATGGCAACACTGTGTTGATGTGGGCTGAAGCCAAGCAACACTCCGAACATGGTGACTCAGTTGAACACAACGGTTTTTGTGGTTCGTCCTCTTGGTGAGCTCGAAAAAAAAAATTGCGTCCATGCTAAGTGGATGCAAGAGGATGATGATCGGGTTACAGAAGAGAGTGAAAGAAATAGATTATAAAAGAGAGACGTGGAGGAAGGAATATTTCACCCACATAAAGACCCTTTGTGTGAGTCATGCTGTGTGACCGTGAATTTGTGAAGAAAATGTTTTTCTTGCATGCCTCCACGGATTTATTGATTGGCTGGGGATCACGTCTAACAGCGAAACTATATCAAGACATCCATTTACACACTCTCATGCAACTTGTGCAGTATAATCCAAGTATCATTTATCCAGTCTTATGCTCAGTGCTTCCCAATCACATGCATTTTCACTAAATCCTCACTATTAAAAACTGAACTGACACTTCTCTATGCTCTCTTCAAAGCCAGACTCCATTGATGAAAGCAGTAATTTTACCCCACTGTACACAGGAGCTACTGGTCTGTCGCTGCCTCAATCAGCTAGTTTGTTTGTGTTATTGTATGACTTAGGTGAATCTAAACTAACCTTTTAAAACACCAAAATCACACCAAATCAAAAACAAACCACCAATCGGGGCAGTGGTTGACTAGCAGCAACTAGTATTCAGCAAAGTAAGAGTTACAGTTTTTGTTAACGGAGTCTGGCTTTGAAGAGAGCATTGGTAAGTTTAATTTTTAGTTTAGTTCACCGTTGGAAAGGGCCGTCTGTTAGGGGAGTACTGAGCATACAGTTGGATAAATGAGACTTGGATTGTACTGCATGAGTTAGAGAGAGATTGTAAACTGATGCTGTGCAGTATAATCCAAGTCTCATTTATCCAAATGTATGCTCAGTTCTTCCCAAATACATGCAGTTTTGCTTATAAACCTTACAGTGCAGTGGTTCCCAACTGGTGAGTCCTGGTCCAAAAGTGGGTTGTGGGTCCATTCTGAATGGACAGCATGTGACTTGCAAACATGTCTAGTTTGTAAAAAACATTCTTTATTTTTAAGATACGGTAAATTTCCAGCACAGAGCTGCATTTTTAAGTGCTGTTTCCTGCTGTAGAGTGAGTGACTAACGGACAGCTACTTGACACAGCAAACTAGCTCAACGACATGGATGTGTTAAACTGTGTGTATCTTGAAGTAATGACTAAGGAGAAAACTAAACCAGTTGGAAACCACTGCCTTAGTATTTTAGTAGTTTTCTTTAGCAAAAATGCATGTGTTTGATAAGTACTGAGCATATGACTGGATAAATTAGACTTTAATGATATTGCGGGAGTTGTGTTAGAGTTTGTAAGTGGATGTTTTTGTTGTGTTGTTAAACATGGTCCCCAATAAATCAGTATGTTTGCCATTTTCTGTGGAGATATGCAAGAAAAACAGAGTTCTCTGCACAAATTTAAAGTAATACGGCATCACCGAGTGATTTATGGCATTTCTTTGGGTGAAATGTTCCTTTAAAGGCCTGTTTGTGTGTGTGTTTCTGTGGTGATACAGAGAAGGAAGAGCAGGCTTTCAGATATCGCTTTTCCTTCCTGCAGTTACCTTCTGCTGTGCAGGAACTTCTAATACAAAGTGTGCACAATTTTTTTTAATCAGGCATGCCTCTTGACACCACATTTTCCAGGTTATGATTCTTTCTGTCATTTTGTACTTTTCATTTGTGCTGTTATTGCATTTTATTTTGTGGAAGGGAAAAGATGAAGTAACAAAAAAAAAAAAAAAGCTGAATAATTTGCACTTCTCCATTACAAATGTTTTATTGTTTTGCTCTGATGTTTTATCTAACAGCTGCTTTTATATTATTTACCTTTATGTTTTTTGGAAGGACGTGGAAAAAAAAGAGCAGATTCATGTCGGTGTAATGAATCTGGAATGAATGTTCAGTAAGAGTTACGTTGATGTTTCTTTGTAAAGAGTTAATTCCACATCGCAGTGGCAGCCGAGATGGTTAGAAGTCTTTTCATACTGCTGTTTCATCTCATCACTTCACCATTCAGGTACTTTGCGTGTATGTTTGAATGCTGCTGCCATGACAGAGCATGAATCATTCATCTTCCGCTGACGGTGGAGGAACAAAGAAAAAAAAAAAAGAAAAATATATACAAGCAGAATTGTGTGCCACTGCTCTTCAACTGACACATTAAATAATGTGAAATCTGCAAAAAGCTGATATAGGTTTTGGTGTTTGCCTACTGCTCTGCCAGCGTGTGTTCTCTCTCTGTTCTCTGAATGGTGACTTGTGATAGGCTTTGATCATTGGAAATCCTGTCTGAAGTAGCTGACCAAAGAGGCCTGCTGTGCTTTGTGTTTCCAGACAGTCCACTCTATCTTTATACTGCAAATTCTCTCTGTGTGTGAGTGTGTGTATGTGTGTCCATGCCTGCAAGTGTATATGGATGTGTATACTTGTGTGTGTGCGTATGTGTGTGTGTGTATGAGAGAGACGTGGAGATGTTATGTTCTCTCCGCCTCTTCTTCTGTGTTGCAGGTACCGACTGTTTACATCTGTGTAAATATACTCTCACCTGTTCATGTGCGTGCAACGGTCATTAAACAGAAGCCTGTGCTTTTGATTAAAGCCCTCGCTCTAATGGCGTCCTCATTTACCCCGTTTCCTCTTTTATTGGGCGTTTGGGTCGTGTAAGAATGCAGCTGCCGAGCTCCAGAGATCATCCCATCTCACAAGAAATATGAAAGAAGATTAGTGCCAGAAGTGATTTCATTCGAGTTGCATAAATCCCGGATTTTCACATTATGCTAGGAAGTGGTTTATAATCTTGGCTGCTTTGAAATGTGGCAGGTAGCCCAAGCCGACAAGCTTTAAAGGGACAGTTCACCCCTAAATCAAAAATACACATTTTGCCTCTTACCTGTCGGGCTGTTTATCATTCTAGATTGTTTTGTTGTGAGTTAATGGGTGTTAAAAATACTGGTCGTAGAGGTGTCTGCCTTCTTTCCAGTGTAATGGAGCTGGATGGCACTCAGCCTGTTTCCCACGAGCACCTGACACAAGATTTTGGTCTACGTTTGTATACACAGAGCAACCAGTCGTCTCTTTCCCCGCTAAAAAAATACATTTGAAAAGCTCAACAGTAATGTCTCTTTCCAGAAATCATGACCTGGTTACTCAAGATAATCCACAGACCTTGTTGTGAGCAGTTTTATGCCAGAACTATTTTCTCTCCACCAAACTACACCCAACAACTGTATTGCTACGCAGAAAGAAACGTGAATCTACTCATTACAGCTAGCCAGGAAGCCATTAAAGGTTTACTATGCAGGTTTTTACCTTAAACACAATATATCAACTCAAACGAAAGTAATCCCACTCAGTGATCACTTATGACCCCACAGCGTGTGGTGGTGTCAGTATCTGCAGAGAATCTGCCTTGTGTGTTTATTGTCTTATTTTCTTCCTATTTTGTTTTGAGGTGTCAAACTTTAGGTAGTGGTGTGTAGCTCCCAGCCAATAATATTCAGAGGTTGGGACTCTATAGAAATGTAGTAATGAGGTTACATCGCTGTCTCTGTCTCTCTCCTCTGTTCTGCTCTCTGGATGCGAGCTGTGTAAGGCTGAGCTACACACTAGCACCGAGCAGAGAAGCAGAGAAGCCAAACAGACACCTGAACCTTTTTTTTTATCTTGTAAAGATTATTG